TCAGTTGCAATTGCGCTTACCTTCATAACGCTCGGCCTGTTCGGCCAATTTGGCAAGGTAGACAGCGTCTTCGTGGCCCATGGTGGCTGATTTGAACTAGAAATACTTCTTGACATCAGCATTGCTAAACAATTTTGGTTCTCATGATGACTATGTTGATGTCATGAGCCGGGTATGTTGATGGATCGACTACAAAGTCCCCAAAAAGTCATGACTTCATCGAGACAGGGGGGGGTCTAGGAAATTGATTTCTCGAGCCACGGAACAGCGGTGTACATGACACCGAGTCGGATTTCTACCCCTTCTGCACACCAGAGAGCCGGAGACAGGAGGCACAGAGTATATAATGCTGCTGGACGCGGCCGGCAGGCTACCGTGGCCAGGGTGCCTCGAACAGCCGAGATGGTAATAAAGCCCTCCTTTTACTCCGCCTCAAAGGAGATAGCATCGACGACTCGGGGCGCGTTACAGGATCAAGAACTCGACAAGGACCGAGAATCTGTTCTGACAAACAACATATGCGACATGTATAGAGGCTGTCTTCCCATCGCACACAAGACCTGCTGGTGGTGGGATTGGCGCGCGGCAGGGCAGTGGGAGAGTAGGAACCAAAAACCCCCCCCCGGTGAAACAAACGCAAGGACGCCAGGCAGACACTCGTCGAGGGGCAGCTTACCTTGATAAAGAAAAGAAGAAGAGTCGAGCGAAGAGTACACTGGCGGTAGCAGGCGGTTTGCTGGTGCGAGAAGAGAGAGAAGAGGTTGGTGTTCAGGAGAAGGATGACTAGCGACGTTGCTGGGGGGAAAACAGAGGGGAGAAGGAGTGGAAGTGGATGGAAACGAGGTGAGGTTTTGTTGGACGCTGAGGGCCGCCAAAGGGGGAAAGGCGGGTCGCGCCCGTTTGGGCTTAGCCTGCTTAGGTAAGCTAACTGCTGGCGCAGGATCTCCCATAGATAGTCTGGATGGCGCCGGGAGGCTGGCGCTGTTGCTGGGGCGCAGGGACGGCCTATGGCTGGTGCTGGCACACAGAGCGCCGTGCCAGCAAATTCCACGCTCTGGATACTGCCTTGCTCCGTCCTGGCAGGAATTTTGTTGCCCTCGCGCGTCTCCCGTACTGTACTTGAATGCTGGTGAGGTCGGCTAGGAAGGGTCATGTGACCTTATCAGTTCCAATAATCTGCCGGATAAATTATTTACCGGGTCCGCAGAACCAGTCACATGACTTAGCATGACTGGGCGCTAGTCCCTTTTCGGGCCAGCAGGAAAGCAACACGAAAAGCAACCACAAGCTTCGACGTCCAACGACCAAACAAACCAGCAAAGCTGAACTTCCAGGTACGCAAGGCGCTCCCGATCTCCGTCTCCATCTTTCTTCCTTTTCCAATTCAACAGGACTGGACCGCTTATCGCTTTTCAACAGTAACCAACAATGTTCCGCCAACTCGCTAGACCAGCTTTCCGCGCCAGCAGGCTGCCAGCTACCCGATCTTTCTCCGTTGCTGCCGCCAGAATGACCGAGGGATCTACTGGTGCTCCCCGTTCCGGAGGCCAGCAAAGCGGGTTAGTACCCTGCTATGCTTTCTCCCTTATAGTTTTGTAATGAGAATCACTAACCGGTCTCATTTTAGCGACATCTGGACCAAGAGGGAGTCTGCCGAAGAGGCCCTCTACATGAAAAAGAAGGAGCATGAGAAGTACGATAGGCCCCGAATATACAGCCCAGCCAAGGGAGAGAATATCACAGCTGACATGTTGGATCTTATAGGCTCCTTGCTCTCAGGGAGAAGCTCAAGCAGCAGAGAGCTCACCTCGACGAGCTCGATGCCCACCTGTATGATTCCCTCGGTCAGTCATATGCACGCAATCGAGTAGATAAACTAACATTTTATTTTCTTTAGCGAGGAGCTCACCAAGAACCAGGGTGGTGAACAGAACTAGATATATTATTAGCGATGTTCACGAAAGGGTCAATGTGAATCTGAACTATCTGCCATTCGCCTCTTGGTATATAGTGTCCCTTTCAACTTTCCTACTTCCCCACTCACCGTATCTGTATTTGAATGCTCAGCAGTCAAATTTACGCTTGAAATAGTAGTTAAGCCTATAAAATGAAAATATGTTGTATCATAGGGTGGGATACGTGCTTGTCAGGGCCCTCACCAGTAAATAAAGAGCCAGCCAATTGAACTGACGTTGAAATAGAAAGCAACCAATCATTAGTCCATTGATCTACCTAAGGTAAGAAACGCCCATATTGAAGGAAAAGGAAGAGTTATGCATTTAATCTGCAATGAAAGAGTTCCACCATGACCAGTTGTACACGTTACTGAGTTTGATATTATGGGGAAAAAAAAAAATAAGGAGAGAACCAGAAGACAGGGAAGAGTTTGGCTGTCATGACCCTCTATCTTCGTCCCATGTAAGAGCGGTAGAAATCTTCGGCAGCTCCTCCGCTGCCACTCACGGCACCACGAGGAGTACCGTTCTTGAAAGCGCTCATAGAGTTACCCAGCTTCTGAGATGCAGTGATCTTAGCGCGAAGAGCAGCAGTTCCTTGGTCAATGAGCTGGAGTTGAGAGAGGTGAGAGTTGAGAATGCGAACGATTTGGGATATCTATTTAGTGGGTCACTAATTAGCACTGGGATATTTCCTTTACACATATAAATGTACATACCGGTTCATCAGCCTTGCTTGTCTTGCTGAGCGTTGCAGAGGCAGTGTTAACTTCTTCAATCATGCTAGTGAGATCCTGGCCCATTTCATTAAGGCGTTCGGAGAGTCGTTCCGCAAGTTTGTACCTGTTAACATGTCACCGTAAGTAAACCACATTCCCCAGTACACAGTGAAAATATATAAGATACGCACGTTCGGGCACGCTCCTGGTCTGGACCAGGAAGATTGTCTCCTGTTCCAACCTGCTTGGAAAGCAGAGTCTCAACTTCCTGCTCGTATCGATCCAGCCAGGAGCTTAGTTCATCTTGCTGGCTCTCAACAGAGGCGAGTTGCCGCTCCACCTCTTGGGTAGCTCGCTCAGCATCAACTGTGTTTCCATACAGTTTTTGCACCTTGGTGCTATTTTCAACTAGCATTCTATCCCATTCAGCTACTTGTTCAGCTTGCTCCTGGAATTCTTTTTGGTACTTGGTAAGATCTGTTGCCCATCGAGTGATGATCTCGTCCATCGTCTTATTTTTCAAGCGAGATTGGGCAGGCGGAGCTGGACCGACAGTTGATGTCCCGAGGTTAGTTCCGGCTGTAGTGACCGTAGTAGTACCAGGCTTGGTGGTAGCTGGAGCTGATGCTGTCGCAGTGGGCGCAGACGCAGACGATGCTGTAGTTCCGGTAGTGGCACCTGTAGTCCCCGTAGTGGTTGTGGTAGACGGGGCTGTTGTGGTAGTAGCAGGCTTCCCAAGACTTGCAAACATGTTGCTTGCGGAAGCCGCAGTAGTGGCAGCCGGTGTGGTGGAATCTGTAGAGCTGTTCGGTTTCGGAGTGTTAAAAAGTCCACCGGATTGAGCGGTTGTGGTGGTAGTGGATGCGGCCGTGGACGATGGAGTGCCGAGGGAGAATAGAGAATTTTGGGTGTTACCGCCAGTAGTTGAAGTTGTAGTTAAAGATGTCGACGGTTTTGTTGTGGAAGCTGATGTAAGAGAAAAGGCAGGCTGGGTGGAAGCTCCAGACGACGGAGTAAACAATGAACCGGAGGGCTGAGTGGTTGTAGGCGTAGATCCACCAGCTCCGAATAAAGGCGTGTTTGTGCTTGGCTTGGAGGCATCAGTAGCTGGCTTAGGTTGGCCTAAATTGGCGAACATCCCTCCCGGAGCGCTAGTAGAGGTATTTGCTGAACCAGCAGCACCAAACAAGCCTCCTGCAGGCTTCGTCTGCTGTTGGCCTGCACTAGCGTTAGCCCCGAAAGCTGGTGATGAAACTGCAGGAGTTGTTGCCGACAATGGACTTGAAGTACGTGCGTTTCCGAAAAGAGCTGATGGAGCAGATGTCTGCTGTCCGAAAGAAGGTAGCTTCTGAGCATTGGACTGCGTCTGTGGTGGTGGTGGGCCTGCAGGAGTTGTTGATATATTTCCGAATAGTCCAGATTTTGTGGTAGCGGGTGTTGTACTTCCGAAGAGATTAGAGCTTCCCGTAGTAGTATTACCTGCTCCAAATAGGCCTGACGGCTTTTGCGCCTGGGCAGAGTCTGCTGGTTTGTTTGGGGTTGCGGTGCCAGAACCGAATATGGGAGAGCTGCTCTGCTGGCCGGAGGTCTGACTAGGATTCGTAAAGCTGAATGAACCACCCGAAGCTGCAGGCTTTTGCGTGCCAAATAGACTACCTGTTGCCGCTGGAGCAGGAGTTGATCCAAATATTGAGGGTGATGAGGTCGATGTAGACTGGCCGCCCGCGCCAATGTTACCGAAGAGGCCACCAGTTGAGCCTGATGTTGCTTGTCCAAATGGAGACGAGCCTCCGCTTGTCGATGCGCTTCCGAAATTCATGGTGGTAGGGAGGGAGGTTTGAAGTCCTGCGCGGCTGTTGTTGGGCTTCACGCGATGCGTTCACGGACTGCAATGGATATTACATTAGTACAGCGAATATTCAGGTTGAAGGTTCACTATACCTAATTCGTTGAGATCAGGGTTTTCGAAAATGAAACTATACAGAATCAATACTTACTTTGCGCGGAGAATAGTCCAACGCTAGGATGAGAGCTGCAGACGGCGCTTCGTTGTCCTGCTGCTTCTTTGCTTTGGATGTTTTTTTCAACAAAAATGAAGCTTCGAGGTTTGCTGACATAATTGGTAATATTACGGAACGGCAACCAACAATGTTTGGTGTGTATTTGAGATGTCCGTAAGGTACTAAAACACGCCGCCTTTAGTTATGTGGCAGAAACCCGTCTCTTCCTCAACTTCAACGGTTTTAATGTATGGTAGAAGCCAGAAACAACAGGCCATGTTTGCGGCATCTCTTTACATTCCTTGTCCTTGAACCTATATATACCCATGGCTGAACTGCGATCTCGTCCTTCTAGTGTTTTGTTGGAGCCACCCCCAAAGGGAGTCGAGCTTGAAGATCCTGGGGCGTCAGACCATAGTATGTATGCCGGCCAAGTAAATACGCGGAAAGCAGTCCTTCGCCTGGTAGACTGACCTTATTAAGATCCAGATAGTGATGATGAGCACTTTTCCGATGCTACGGAAGGCCAGACGTCTGCGTCGAGGCGCCCCTCTCGCTCTCAATCCCCAGTTCCTAGAACTAGGGTAGAGAAGGTCGATACCTCGCCCAGACATGGGGAGGTACCCGGGTCACCTGCATATCAACAGCGGCTGGCGGATGCTGTTCCAGACGAGATTGACATAGTTGGAGGATCTAGGCCTGATACGCAGCATAATCCAGCCCACATAGAACGACCGCTAACACCCGGGGGAACTCCAATACCGTTGACTGTCGTGGAAAAGGTGGATCTTAACTCGCCAGCATATGGTGAAGAACCAGGGACACAGGCATACGAATCACGAAAGGCAGACTTCGCACCTGACAGAATTTTCAAACTCGGAGACCCAAGGGCAAGTCCTCAGCTTGTCGTACCTGAAAATGACCTAGAAAATGCTATAAGTGATAGTGACCTTCCCGAGACGCTGCTCTCTAAGGTTGAATCTCTGCCCAAGGAAGGGGAAGAACGGAAGTTCACTGCCCACCGTAGGAAACTAAGTGATGCTGCTCCCGATGCTGAAGAGATAGTTCTGGATGTTCCAGGTAAATAACATCTCTCTTCGCCCCCTATATTTATTCTGGAGGAACGATTGACCAAACCAGGACAACAAATTCCTGATACAAATAGCTCTGGAACAAAAATTAATTTTACCGACGACCCGGCTCAATTAAACGATAGTGGTGGTGGCGACCTAAATGATTATACTGAAGCCAGGGCAGATTTTGATGATAATGATAACGGATTTGGCGACGACTTTGATGACTTCAAAGAAGGGGACGGGGGCGATGATCATGACGACTTTGGTGATTTTGACGATGGCTTTCAAGAACCAGAAGAAACCTCTGATGCTGCCATACTGAAGCCAAATACTGATTCCACTGCGTCCCCTAGCCTTCCGGTCCTGGTGAGTTGGCAGTTTCTGGCATTTCCAGGTCTTTAAAAACAAAATAGCGATGCTAATAATAAGTATAGCCCCCTCTTCTGGACTTTTCCTCTCTTAAATCCCTTCCTGACCTTCTATCTGCCACTTCCGATCATCTCGATACCCTGTTCCCTAACTCTACAAATTTATCATCGTTACCCCCTATTGACCCATTTCCCGACTCCTCTGCAATATTTACTACAGAACGTTCCCTATCCCTTTGGTCTCAACTGGTTGCGCCCCCTCCCCTCCAGCCTCCAAACTGGACTAAATCCCGTATCCGCCGCCTCTTTCTCGTCTCCCTTGGTGTCCCCGTGGACCTAGATGAAATCCTTCCTGCTTCAAAACAGAAGAAATTGGTCCTTCCCTCCATGAACCGCGACACTGCCCGGGTGTCAAGTGAAGATCCATTAGGAACAGGTGGCACATTACTTCGCTCTCGAAGCAAACGAAAGAATCGAGAAGGGCAATCCCGATCGTCTACATCCTTCGACTCCAACCGCTCATCATCTAGACCCGTTCCGTCAACACCTCGGCGCAGAGGTAATACCCCTCCCCCGGAGCTAGATCTTCTCGCCACACGCCGGCTTTGTGAAACTACTGATGCAGCACTTGATGGCTATACGGATGAAGAAATAACAGAACATGTACAAAAGCTGGAAAAGCTGACTATCCGAGCGAGTGAGGTTTTGGAGTACTGGCTGAAGAAACGAGATGGACAACTTGGAGAAAAAGAAGCCTTCGAGGGTGTTATAGAGAACCTGGTTAAACATGCACGCCAAGTGAGGAAGTGAATGTTACTATGTTATTAAATGACTAATGGCCTGTTCTGTCCCGTTATTTACTGTAAGGGATTATATAATTAATTGCAAACCAGATCATATCATGACTTGAATAGTAGCAGCTTTTCTCTTTTTTCATACTGATAGAGTATCGCGGATATTTCGAGTGATAACGATTCGAGTGGGCTAGTTAATAAAAATGGAAAAGAGGGAATAAGGAGCTAGATTCGATTGCATTCAACTTAAACCTGGGTTATATTAAACGAAATATGTAATTTTAATCAATCTACTTTTACTACATAACCTTCTGTCTTCCTACAATTTTAATAGATGTTATATAGTGAAGTGGTAATGAATAGATTAGCTTAATTCCCGTTTTCAACTTTGCTTAGGTAGTTAAATAGTAGGAGATAAAGAAAAATTAAAGGACTTGGTCATTATATTGTAGTCACAGTAGCTAAAGACAGAAAGAAGTTGAGCTACAGAATAGAGATGCATATTAAGAGTATGGCTTGTAACAATTGCTTTCAAAATGATGGTATCAAAGAAGAGAAAACTAACCTAACAGCACAAAAATACCTGCTCTTCTGCTTGATAATGACCTGACCTGGATTTTAAACCTTGCAAAAAAAAAAAAAAAAGAAAGAAAGAAAGAAAAGAAAGAAAAAAGAAAAAAAGAAAAAAAAAAAGAACTCATTCATTGGCCGTAAAACGTAAAGAAAAAAGACTGGAACGAAAACCCTAATCAACAAACACAGTTCATAATGTTAATGAGAATGAGATGCTATGAGAATAGAAAAGACTCAAGGAGCTTCGGCTAAGGGGTATAATAAAATAAAAATGGAAAAAGACAACAAGAGTGGAAACATAGAATAACAAAGGGAATAATGAAAAGGTAGCGATTGCATGTAATTAGGGTATGGTTAAGGTTAAAAACTGCTCTGTAGATCAATCTCTCATATTAATCAAGTTCAATGATCTCAGGAGGCGCCTGGGTAGCCCTAGGTGAATTGGAGGTAGCGCTAGTTGTAGCCGTTGCCTCTTCCTCCTCTCTCGTTAAGGGGCCTCGGGCGGTCCTCCCGGTACTAGGCTGACGCATGACAACATCCCAAGATTTATCGGCTCGAACTCTTATAGCAGTAACGTCATCTAGTTGTTTTCGATTAGCAAGCTCTTCCCGAACCTGAATTAGAAATTGATCAATAAGTAAACGTTTTGGTCGCGCGTCTTCATTGCAGATTGGACATTTCCAGTCCTCTGCCATGCCATGAGGCCCTTTTGCTACACGAGAGAGCCTTGTATCCAGGAAAGTATTGAGGTCGAAACATTCAGTATGCTTGCAAGAAACTGTGCGGACCGGGATGTCAAAAATACGAGCCATAAAAGGGTCAATTATGGGTATAGTTATGAAGTCATCAACAAAGGAGAGTTCATCAGTGTTAATTGTGTTGTTGGTCAGCCTATTAAAGATGAGGTTGAGGGATTGAGGCTGTGATAGAGTCTGAATCGCCTCTCGAGTTCGTTTATATGAAGCCACATCTATCACTTCCACTGCTATGGCAAATTTTTTCTTGTACGCTTCTGGTGGACCAATGATGGTGATCTTAACCTCATTTTTCCCTGGCTTAAGGACTCTATTAATGGAAACTGGTAAATCCTTTCCAAAATGAAATCTTCGCTGGAGGAAGTGTTCATGGCCATTGACGTGGATATAAATGGCCGTAGGCCATGTGCATTCAGTAGCCATCCATCCCTCCTCGGTCAAAGAATGGGTATCAGTAACATGCACACATTTAATTTGGTAAGTCTTACATCCATCGAAGACACCTTGAGTAATATGACATGTATTAGGCGGCTTAAGGTGTCGCGGAAGTGCGGCATGCTGACTTTGCGATAGATTAAATGTGTGTTGAGAGTTACACTGCATCCAATCCAGGCATGTGGGGGATACGGCAAATGACTCAAAAGAATGGAATAAATTTTCACCAGGCTCCTGAGAGCCGGGTTTTGGCAGAGAAACGTTGACAACCCTTAAGTGAGCTAGGTGAACGCTAGCGTTTGGAGACGGATTGGCAGGTGGAAGAGAGTTTGCATTGCGAGGAGGGAATAGTGGCGTCCCAACAGGTTGTGGTGGAACGGGGGGACTTGGATAAGCCTGATAGGATGGCATGAAACAAGGGATGATGGGGGTAAGTGTAGCAGTAGAGTCGGTCACTGGTTGATGGAGTCCGTGAGCATATGCCGGTATTGTTATAGGTGAAGGATTAGTCAAGGCAGTTGCGGTACTCGGGATATCTGTTGATGGTTGCTGCTGGAAGAGTGGAGGAAGTGGCTGAGGAAAGGGCTGTAATCCGGTTGTGGCAGCACTTGGGAAGCGCGAATACTGCTGGCTCGGTATTAAACCGGGTGTTGGGTGCGAAGGCACTGGACGCGGAGGGAGCGGATGACTGGAACGGAGAGGTTGAAGCATGGGATGAGTGTTGTAGGAGGGTTGTTGATGATAAACAGATTGCTGCGGGACGGCAGGCTGCATAACTGGCACAGGAGGTGTACCTTTGGGAGGGTATTTTTCACCTATTTTCTGATACATCAATGCCAGCTGTCTGTTTTCGTTCTGAATATGCGCTTCTGTGACAGGATTCTGGGTATTGGCTCTCTTCAAACGATTTCTGTAAGAATCAATATTCTTCTTGAGGATATGCTTCCACGCGTCTCGCAGCCCTGGTGCCCGGTTTGCAACGAGTCTAGAAACGCAGCCAGAGTAGAATATACCATGCATGACATTTGAATGAACGCCGAGAGACGTTGCGATCTCGTCTAGCAAAGGTGGATACCCACGATTGATCACATTCGAGAAGAAAGGAGGCCAGATGTTTACCAGAGAAGCCGCCCAGCTTACAATGGCGCTCACCGCGGCCGCGTATTGTTTATTCAGGGAAACGATGGTCGGATAATCGGAAGGGAAGGCACTGAAGTATTCTATAAAAGTGGCGGAAAGTTTTGTAGAATTAGAAATTAAGCCTAGGACTGTTTGGATGCCTCTTGTTGCATAATTTCCGATACCTGGATATGACCCGTGAAATTTGAGGGACAAGCAGTACAGCTGATGAAGGGCGAGATAATGAAGATCGTAGCTTGAACAGGCATCCCTTAGCATGTGAATGAAAGTAGATTCAGTTGGCTGAAATCTTGAGGCGATGCTATCTAAGAACAGTGCGCAGGAGTTCAAAGCCTGGGGGGAGAGGTCTGTTGGCGGTTGTTGGAGGGGCGGTAGCGCGTTTCCAGGCAGGTTTGTACCCGCTCCGGTAATGAGAGGTGTAAGTGACAGCGGTTGCAGCGATACTGGTACGTGGGGAGCAGGAGCAGTAGCCGTTGCAGTGGTAATAGCGGCAATGCTGGCAGTAGATGTGGTGGTTGTCGTGGTAGGAGTAACAGGAGTAATAGGGGCAGCGGAAGGAGAAGTAGTCGTTGGCGGTTGGAAGGTGGTTAGACGCGGGCGCTTATTTTGATGCTTATCCTGACCTTCGCTGTCCTGCTCACTGGGCTGAGCTGCCTCAGCGAGTGGATGTTCCTGGGGGATAGTTGAGCGGTCAACTTGAGGACTATCCCGAGATGCCTGGGGAGCATGAGAGCCTTGCCCTGGAGGAGCAGTATGATGCCCTAAAGCTGGAGGGACTGAGACAGCCGGCACTTCAGTGTCAGCAGTCACTTGGTTGGCACAAGGTATATCTCCTGCTGGATGAGACCCATGACTGAGGCTTGGAGAAGGCAGAGCCTGGGTGGTCTGCTCCACTGTTTGTGCTGGGTGCACTAGCTGCTGCACCAGCTGATCTTGCTGCACCGTGGCTGGGGTGACAGGTAAAGCTGGAGGAAGCATGTTGGGTGATACCGGCGAAAGACATTGCGTAGGGACGGCATCCTTGGGCTCCTTGGAAGCTGGTATATCTCCATTTGTATTTGTATTTCCAGAGGGACAAATCGCGTCTTTTGGACCTAGGTTACGGCCTGGCTGGGGTTTATTAGCTGGAGGAAGGGGCCGTGAAGGTCTGCGCGTGATAGGGGAAGTAGGGCTGGATACGCTTGCATTCTGCATCCATGCCTTTGGCCTGCTTCCTAGAAAGCGGCTTGCAGTTGAATTTGACGCGACAAGCCCAGAATCATTAGCCTGCTGTCTTATAGACGATGCTGGTTGTTTTCTTGTATTTGAGGGTATCATCTTTGCGTCACGTCCACAAGATACATCCGGGCCTCTGGTTACATCATGCAGAGGTGATCTTCCTTTTTCTCTTGTGTTACTAAATAGCTGGGTTGATCACTAACACGCAATCTTATTCCACCTTCTAGAGCAAGAAATAAATAAAAAAAAAAAAAAAGAGAGAGAGAGAGAGAGAGAGAGAGGACAGAGATGTAGGGAACGCGAGGGAGGCAGAAAATAACAAGAAGGGGGCTGCTTAGGTTGTTAGTGTAAGTTTATGCAGTGGAGCAGAGATGTTTTAAGTATAAGTTGCTGCTTCTTTGCCCCTCTGCGTCTCTGTTTTGACAGAGGGAGTAGACCAGGCCAGGGCGAACCAAGGGGCTGGCTAAGATTGTGCTTTAGGCTTAGGACAAAGAAACCTCTTTCTCCTGTCCTCCCTTGGCTGCTTCTTGCCCTGCTTCTGCCCCCCTTCTTCCTCTTTATCAGTGGGTTTTCTTACAAGAAACTGCAAAAGAAATCTTTTCGACGCCCTTTTTTATATGTCGGAAGCTCGAACCCGGGCGCTTAAATTAACTTTGCGGTATTGAATGAAGAGTTAGCTTTTACCGCGTCTTACCGGGCTTGGCAGTCACTTGCGCGGAGAGTGGAGCCGGCGGGAGGGTATGTCACTTACAGCCGTAACTTACACGGACTAACTTTCTTCCACGGCACTATTAGGTAATCAGCTCAGTGGATCTGCCTAGGTAAACTGCCTAATAGCTCGTGCTTACCTAAGCAGCTTGCCCTTTTTTTGCCTTTTGCTTCGTCCCACGTCGACTTCTTGCTTTCTCGTCCATCTCGTCGTCTTCCTCTTCTTCCTCCTCTGCCTCGACGTCGACGAAGCCCGTCCTGCTCCTCCTCCTGCTGCTGCTGCTGCTGATTTACCTTCTACCGAGTTGCTGCTGCAACGATGTCCATCGCATGCTCACGTTCTGCGCATGTTGAGTCTTCCTGCTCCCCTCTAGCCGTCAACCCGTTGCGCCGCCCTCAGCTCGGTTAGTTGCAACGTCGAGCCAGTCGAACCAAGCCAGAACAGACGCACCCCTAGAACTACTCACAACTCCCCACCTCCTTCTTCAACGTTGGGCAGCCTGACTGGAACCAACGCTGCTCTAGAGAATTAGATTTCGGCCGGCTCTCCCTCTCACTCCGTCTGTTTTTGATTTCGGTGCGGTTGTCTGTGTCTCACGGCCTCCCTCGACCCGTGGTCGACATCCAACTTTCTGTCGCACCCGGCGGGTCGAATATATCCCAATCTTTTAAACGGCCTGTCACAAGTTTTTGTCGGGTACGACTACTAGAACCAGGGCTATCCTCTGACCAAAGCTTCTTCTCTGTCCCCTCCGTGGGTTGTCTGCGGCCGACCCTAGTCTTACGGCGCCAAACCCTGACGGGTTCAAATAATTTTTTTTTTTTTTTTGCTTTTAAATACCCTCTCCTTGATACATTCCAAGGGGTGATCGTGATTAATATATAATCGAACATGCCACAACGTCCAACAAGTGCGTGCGATGCTCATCCGGGCGACGTCCTTTTAGTCAATCGTGAGTGGTTTTTCAAGCGTTTCCACCGATATTCATCGTCATCAACATCATCATTGCTAACCTAGACTTTAATTGTAACAGACGACTTTGATGCTCGAGGTGCGGATGAGCTGACCCTACGGCGAGGCGACAAGGTTGAGCTCCTTGAGCTCGACGAAGGTTTCGGGGACGGCTGGTACCTTGGTAGGCACGTAACGGAAAATCGAACAGGCCTGTTTCCTGGAGGTAAGCTGTCACAGAGTTAGAATTGCTACTGTTATGATAGCTAACTCTAGGTGGCATAGTTTATACTGTGATCGCTCCCAAGATCGGTGTCAGGAAGACAAAGGATGCTACGCTCTCTGCAGAGCCCCTTTGGGACACTGCTACTCCTGAGGCCGGTTCTCCATCTCTGGGCAGCAACTGTGACCCTGTCTCTCCAGTGTCGAATGACGAAACTACACCTCAGCCCTCAAGGCATGTCAGCGCCATTGACATGAAGCCCTTGTCTGATACGGAAGCCGAATCAGGTAGCGGCGTCGCAACCGGCCACTTGTCGCAACAGCGGCCGGCTTCCGCGGGCTCTGCACAGCCATCTCCAACCATTCAGCGGACAATTAGTGAGACACTAGGGAATATGTCTATCAGTGGAGAGGAAAGCCCCGTTTTGAATGAGACATTGAGTGTGATTGACGAACACATTACCAATTTCAGTACTCCACGACATAGCATTGCAACCCAGGAAAATCATAGCGTGCATGATTCCAGTAGTGAGTACAGCAGTTATCCCGATCATCGCATGTCGTACATTCGTGGTGAGGAGACCGACGAAGAGGAAGAACAAATTCCAAGCGAGGCACAGGTTCGAAAGTGGGACCATCGTCAAATGGCCCGCCATCTGAGAGAAATCGGGGTCGATCCAAAACACTGCGATATATTTGAATCCCAGGAGATTTCTGGTGATGTCCTCTTAGACATGGACCAAGAATTCATTTATATGAGGGAGTTCGATTTCGGAGTCATGGGGAGGAGACTCAAGACATGGCATAAAATAAGAGCTTTCCAAGAGGAGATACAAGGCCCAAGGCACTTGAGGAAGGCAAGCTCTCATGGCCCCGAAGAATACGATCGATCCCAGACGAAGTCAGTGATGTCAGGTTCTTATCTTCCCCGCATCCCTAGCTTGGGTGAGAGACATCATCACAACCCGCGCAGCTCTAGAGACAGGAGTACAGTGAAGTATCGTGACACATCTTATGGAACACAAGCTTCTGCTCCTCCATTATCCCAACCACATGATGCCGATGCCACTACCAGACCGTCCGCGGACTCCATTCGCCGGAGCAACCACCATCGATATTCTTCTATTGAAAACACATCCGTCTTCCCCTTGGCCGATTCTAGCGCATTTTCTGCATCAAGGAAAGCACCAGCTCCACCGCATGAGAAGAAGCCCTCCTTCGATCGTGGTTGGACCATGAATGCCCCTTTAACAGCCAATAGCAGCAGCAATGGACAGCGGCCAAGCAGTTCCTTAGCGGCAACCAAGCATTTCTACAAAACTGAGAGCAACAAAACGGATGATTCTAGTAATGGTTTTGGTGGTTCTCCTGACATTGATCGAGGATATTTCTCGGGCGGCGATGTTGAAGGCCAAAAACAGCGCAGGGTTCTTCGCAAGAGGGACTCCAGCAAGAGGAGCTACAGCCACTCTAGACATTCAAGTCTTGCTGCAGTGGCTGACGATAAGAAAAAGAGACACACTAGATTCGGCAGCACAGGTTCTATGAGAGACTTGACTTCTATGAAGCCATTGTACCCGAAGACGCACTCTCAAGATATCACCAACAGTGCTCTTGAATTGCTTGAAGACGAATCCCACTCACCTACCGTTACAAACCTGGAGACAACACCTGAGTCTCCAACAGGATTTCTGTCATCCATTGTTGGTTATGGAAAGAGTCACGAAGCTTCTGGGCGGTCGTCCCCATTACCATCCACTTCTAGCTTAAAGGCTATCACGCCAAAGGTAAGAAGGACTATTGGGCTTCGTGCTATATCCGATGCCGTTACTGGCAGCGAAAAGACTCGTATCAGCTCTCCCATACCTTCATCTGGCAGGGATTTACCACAGTCACCCACTCGAACAGATTCTAGCACACCATCGGGGACTGGGACGAGCAGAAGCCTCGAAATGGATAGCATGGAGAGCTCCAGACTCGAGGGTCTCACGGTTATGAAGAATGGGAATGGAAGCCAACGAAGCAAGTCGAAAAAAGATACAAGTGCCTATCGCCGTGGCCTAGAGAAGAAAACTCCGAAGGAACAGATGAAAGATGCCGACTATTATGGCTGGATGAAGAAAAAATCTTCTAACCTAATGACAACTTGGAAACCGCGTTTGTTCATCCTCAAGGGCCGTCGCCTGTCATACTACTACTCTGAGGACGATACTGAAGAGCGCGGCCTAATTGACATCTCCTCTCACCGTGTGTTCCGGGCTGATCAAGATGCAATTACATCCCTGCATGCCACTCTAACGAGAACCAAGCCCCTGCCTACTACCACATCTAACAATGATGTTCAGCATGAAGAAACTGAGCCTGAGGAAAAGACCGGGGGTTCCAGACGCAACAGCTCCGCAGAACCACCATTTATCTTCAAACTGGTTCCACCAAAGGCTGGCATTTCCCGCGCTGTCCAGTTCACTAAACCAGCCATTCACTTCTTCCAAGTTGACAATATCCAACAGGGCCGTCTCTGGATGGCGGCCATAATGAAAGCTACGATTGAACGAGATCTAAATCTCCCTGTGAAGACAACGAATAAACAAAAGACCATCACTTTAAAGCAAGCACGCTTACTTGCTCAATCTTCCCCCACTCCTCCTCTTGATTCAACCTCAAGGCCACCAAAGCCAGAGGAAGAGAGCTCTCGTAATACGTCTACTTCTAATAGCGCAACTCTTGCAACAACTGCGGAAACTAGCACTACCGATTTCCAAAAGATTGCTATAGATACTGGCTCTACCTCTCTATTCCCAGATTCGGTTTCCACGGATCAGACCCAAACTTCCAGTTAAGTGAACATCTCCTTCTAAGTCTACTGGCTTGGATTCACTTTTCTGCTTTTCACGTCCCAAACGGCGTACTTCACCACTTTATCGCATATACTTCTAATTTCGTTTTACTCGTCCTTTCTTTTCCTCCGGGCATATTTTCCCCCTCATATTTTCTTTCCCTCACGCATTACCCCTCTAAAATCTATCTCATTTCCGTTTTCTTTTTCACTTGATTGGTTTAACAAGTAGAATGTTCGAGCATTACGACAGGCGTCCCCACGGATATACCCCTTATTTTATTTACTTCCCATATATTCCTCTCTTAATCTACTATATCCCTCTATTACTATCCAATATTTTGAAATCTCCTCTGATTAATGGCTTGCTTCTTGTCTGTTGATGTTTATAGCGATGTCACTCATCCATCCTACGCTGCACTGCAAAACTCTACCCTTGACGAGGGAATTCCGGCAGTTCTCACATCTACTGATACTATCTACTTAATACGATCTTTAATATATGGTTTTCCTTTATGACTCTTGTTTGCTTCTTGTCCATTATTTGTATGATAGTTCCTAGATCTTAGGTGGAATTCAAGACGTTGAGTAACAACCCAGACAGGTGGAATGGACGACGGCATAGAAACCCCTGGATCTGTACTTCAAGCGTAAAAGATATTTCGCCGTACCCACGGCACTCCACTTACACATACATATCAAGTCTGGAGTACGGAAGCTGCCCCTCAGCCTTGCAATGCTTTTATTCTATCAAAATACTAGTATCGTGCCAAGGATGAGCCACGCTGCCTGCGGATGCCGATATCACTCACTTAACCAACTTGGCTAGCTAGAGCTTAATCTAAGTACAAAGATCGAAGACGCCCTGCGCCATCAAATTCTCGCCAGTTCATGATATCAGCAACACTCTCCTTTTACGTTCGCTTTTCAAGAGACGTTGGATGCTAATGCATCTGTGTTTTCCCGCAATTCTCCAGCGGGTTGTCGCTGTTCTCCTGCCAGTATCCGCTGTCTCTCTTTGTTACCTTTATCTTTACCCCTTATTTCACGGATGTGCTTTTCCTCTCCCAGCCTCTACAAACGGCAGCGCCGGCGTCTACCCTCCATATACCGGTGATGCCTATCTAGATACCGTCCGCGAACACGTTGGCCTCCGCGACTATACTCAACAACGCCCCAAGTCTGCGCCGTTTCGGCTACTTGTGCTTGCTGACCCGCAGCTTGAAGGCGACACTTCATTGCCTAAGCCAGATGATGCATTCCTGCCACAGCTTAAGAAGCACTGGGAAGACGTAACATCCGCTGGTTCGATCTCCGAGTGCTATTTCGCTACTGTGAAAGGTATACGCGATGTGGTACTGACGGACATCCCTCGACTGGGTGGAACGATTCGCAAACGGCTTGATCTTCTGGGAAACGATTATTATCTTGCGCATATATACCGAACATTGTCGTGGTGGAGTCGTCCTACTCATGTCACTGTTCTGGGGGACCTTATTGGGAGCCAATGGGTGTCAGACGAGGAATTTAATATTCGTTCAAAGAGGTATTGGAATAGGACCTTTCGAGGGGGTGTGAAGGTGCCAGATGATGTGATGGCTACTGGAAGAGATGGATATACTCAACAAACTGGTGTCAGTATGGGCCAGGAAATCGTTCTTGATATTGACACAGATACTTGGTCAAATCGGATTATTAATATTGCTGGAAATCATGATATTGGCTATGCAGGTGATATCTCTCAAGAACGGATAGATCGATTTGAAAGGGAGTTTGGCCGTGCTAATTGGGATGTTCGATTCAACCTACCGATGACAGAACTTGCTCTGGATCTCAATGATACGCACAGAAAGTCTGGATCAACTCCTTCTATACATTTGGTTGTGCTTAACACTCTTACCTTCGATACCCCAGCGCTAGACGTTTCTATTCAAGGAAAATCATACCAATATCTCAACGATGTGATTGACCGTTCACGCCCGGTCGAGGACAGAACGACATTTACTCTATTGTTAACTCATCTCCCGCTCCACAAACAGGAGGGAGTGTGCACTGACCCGCCTTACTTTTCTTTCCACAATGAAGATGATCAACATCCCAAAGATGATCAACCGAGATTCAAGGCCGGTGGCTTGAAAGAGCAAAATCACTTGAGTGATTATGTTAGTCATAATGGCATCCTGCAAGGCATATTTGGGATGTCGGGAGACCTCAACGCCCCATATTCTGGGAAAGGGCGTAATGGTTTAATCTTGACAGGCCACGATCATACTGGGTGCGATGTCCTTCACTATGTGGACAGGAAAACAGGTAGTGACGGTGAAAGTGGTGATGCTGAAGGAGAGCGCGTATCAAACGCCGCCTGGTCATGGAATGCAAAGAAATACCCTACTGAGGTGCCTACAGGGGTGCTAGAATCAACTAGCAGTGCCGCAGGTTTTGACTCGGCCTTTACTCCAGCTCCAGCTATTCGAGAAGTCACGCTACGCTCTATGATGGGAGAATTTGGAGGCAACGCTGGACTTTTGTCGGTCTGGTTCGATGCTGAATCATCTCAAGAATGGAAATATGAAATTACAACCTGTCAGTTAGGTATTCAGCATACCTGGTGGGTAATCCATATTGTTGCGCTGGTAACTCTCATAGCTGCTTTGACTTGGGTGACTATCTTAATCATCTCCAGCCGATCACCTCTTGTTGACAAGCGGAATGCATCAAAAGGAGCAACCAAGGAGAAAATGAACAAGGACTCAGGTGCGACCTGAAACAGCTACGTTCGGTGGTTTGCGAGCAAAAGGGGCCATGAGATCGGATGAATATATGATCGATTGAATAGAGTTTTGGAGGAATTATTTGAGTTCTTACTACTAGATAGTATGCATTACTGGCGTTCTTTTGTCAATGTTTCCCAACACTTCATATATAGCAATAAAGTGGCATTTACACCATCCGTAATCTTGAAACGTACTTAGGAGAAAATATATCAAGATTGTCAAAACTTGGCATTCGGAGAACGCTCCTGCAGGACAGGTATTCCATGGATAAAGCTCAATGGATGTACATGTCCAATAAACCAGTGCATATCTGTCAATTTTAACCTACGAAAAAAATCTTGAACCTTACTAGTTATGATCTCCGCCGATTTATTATTCATGTTGTATTTGAGACTTGACTGTATATCTCAGTGAAAGTCGGGTATTTTCCCACCGAGGCTCGGAAGTGAGGCCCGCATGGGGAAGTGCTATGCTCTCATACAACAGGGATGACCGCCAGAGCCAAATATAGGAAAAGGCGAGAAAACTATGGCTGTATTTTTTGCGTATCACATAAAATTAAGAATCAACGCCCCTGGTAACCTGTCGCCAACCTCTTACATCACAACACCGGAGTTACTAGCAATACGCTAGATGAAGAAAAAAACAGTTAGTCAGAGCACAGTTTGCAGCATTGGCTTCGGTTTAAAAAAGGACTTACGGGCCATAGTTCCGCGGCTTCCTTTCCAACTGGTCCTGTGATGGCGGATCCCTTCATTTCACCCTTGGCGTTGACAATCTATATAATTTAATTATTCACGTTAGTAACTCTGCTATAGGACCGAAGTGACTGGGGGTTGAGCAATGAGCACTTACGACACCAGCATTGTCCTCAAAGTAGAGGAAGACACCATCAGGTCGCTTCCATGGCTTGCTCTGTCGGACAACAACAGCGGGCATAACCTTCTTTCTCAATTCTGGCTTTCCCTTCTTAACAGTAGCCATAACCATGTCACCAACACCAGCAGCGGGGAGACGGTTGAGGCGGGCACCGGTGGCCTTGACGGAGATGATGTAAAGATTTCGGGCACCGGAGTTGTCACAGCAGTTCATGACTGCACCACTATGTTGAGGGTACAGATATCAGTAAAGTTGAACATGTAACGTCCTGCCGTCGAAAGAACTCCGTCATCCACGCTTAATTCGACCACCCCCAATGGGCTAATCCAACTCTTTTGTAAATAATAGTCTCTATTCGCATATTTTTTTTCTGTCCTTCGCAGGCGGATGGCGCAGTGGTGTATTTCATGTCGGATACTGGGGAAATCGCAGATACGTACACTGGGAGACCAAGGGTCATCTTCAGCTTGTTGCCGGCGGCACCGCCACGACTAATATCACACAATTATGTTAGCTATATTCCTCTGATTCGCGATGCTGCTGCTGTGCTCGTCTGCTTTTCGCTTCCTAGACTTGAAGTACAGGCCTCGACGCAAGAGCTTGCATATCAGCGGACACGTCAAAATGTGGCCTAGCTTACCCTCTCTTCGACATGATGACAGATTTCTACCGACACAGGGAAACGACTTAAGAAGGCTGGGTGGTCGTGGAATCCGAGAATTGACAGCTTGCGATCTTCAAATTCAGGCGTTTCGACGGTTTCCAGCAAAGATGGATTTCGCTTAATGTGGGCAGAGAGAAAAATCTTGGCGGTGTTTTCTGGTTGGCCCAAAACAGAATAGCGTGTTTCCCTCACGTGATTTACCCTAGACCTAAAATAATACCAATTAGGAAGTCATGTGATCTTCATTTGTCCGGGTTAGGTTGGGTCCATCGTTACAGGGCAGGTACAAGAGTAGATAGTTTAGATGGCGAGAGCAAAGCAAAGCTGGCAAAGAATAAGGCATTGTCAAATGGCAAAGAAAAAAACCAGAGAAGAACAATTGACGTATTCACGGAACATACGTCAGAGACAGCCGACGCCTCCTTTTCCATATGTCATTCCTCGCCATGCTGGATCCCAAAGCAAAACTCCTAGATGGATATTTCCCCCAAGCGCCAATAACAGTTACATAGCAACAGTGTGTTCAATTTAGAAAAACCAGAAGATAACAGGAAGGAAAAGGAAAGAGCACCAAGTTACTCTTTCTCTTTTGGAACCTCCTTAGACTCATCAGTATCAAGCTTTGTTTCCTTGGCTTCCGTGGTATCAGTTACCTGCGTAGGCTCTGCAGCAGTGTTTTCTGCCCCAGAAGCATTCGACTTGGTTTCTTCCGCCGCTGGCGGTTTTGGGGGTGTCGTCTCCCGTGCAGGAGCCTTTGCAGCAGATTCTTCCTCTTGTTCCTCAGCTGGAGGTTCTAGCTCGATAGTTTCGTCCATATTAACATCTGCGTCTTCCATGGTGGTGTCCCCGTCAGCATTGTCATGAGGAACTGCTAAGTTCGAGGCAGGTGTGGAAACGGGAGGCTCTTTCTCCTCGACCTCTTGAGCGGCACCGTTGGTTTCGGCGACCGGAGTCTCATCATCCTCCATTTGTGAATCTGGCTTGGTTAAAGGTTCAACGGCAGGAGAGGGCTTGGCAGGAGGTTCTGCATTTTCTGTTTCGTCCATCTTATCAGCCTGCTCAGGCTCCTCCTCCGGCATGGATGACTCGTCTCGAGGAGTAACAATCCCACTGTCTATAATGGAGTCCCCATCCAGGTGACGGTAATTGATATTCCCTCGCCTCCTTTCTCTATTGGGTTGGCGACGGACACCGTTTGCAGCTGCAGATTCTTCATCTTCACTCTCGCTTAGTTCGCCATCTTTTTCGACGTAGTTGTCAAATCGTCGTTTTGTATATCTCTTATCCTTATTCTCATCTTCATCAAGGTCATCGAGGATAGCATCCGCTTCGTCATCCATACCATCAACTAATGGGTCCCTCGGGACATCTGTCATTTGGACTGATGGAGCAAACGTAGTGCGCCGTAGATTTTCAACAACTTGCATTCGAATCTTTTCCAGGTACTCCTTGGAGTTGGCATTATCCATGTTCGATGGCCGAACATCCAATTCATAGTCAGGAGAAAAGTACTGAAATACCGTAAGCACACAGCCTGCATAGAGTGTTGGATAATCTGAAAAACTTACTTCATAATAGTCGTTATATGGAAGCTCTGTTGGAAGCTGATTTCCAACAAGCACACCAGTTTCATATGCCCACGTTCGAGCAACGTTTCTCATTGTGTAACCTCCACCCCCCAGGATTAATGTAGGGAGGTTGAAGCTTTTGACGTATTTAACGCAGTTTGCATGACCACGCATACTCAAGTTGAAACATCCCAGACGGTCACCAGACAAACTATCACCACCGCACTGAAGGACGACAGCCTCTGGGCGGTACCATTCCATAACATGTTTGATAACCGGTTCAAAGATGCCTTTATAAGAAACGTCATCTATGCCATCTCTGAGAGGGAAGTTGACAGAATAATACTTCCCTGCACCGACACCGATGTCGCGCAGTTCGCCGGTTCCGGGGAAGTATTCTCCATATTTATGGAATGAGACCGTCATAACACGGTCGGTAGTATAGAATGCTTCCTCGACACCATCCCCATGGTGGACATCAATATCAATATAAAGAACACGCTGTTTGAAACGCAGAAGCTCGAGAATGCCGAGAACAATGTCTTAGATGAAAAAATTGTCAGTTTCGTTCTCGAAGAAAGGAAGAAACAGGCGTAGACCTACCGTTAACGTAACAAAAGCCGCTTGCTTCACTTTTCTTTGCGTGATGAAGACCACCCGCCCAGTTGACTGCAATGTCGCATTTATTTCTGTTGAGGCGCGCAGCACCTTCCATGGAGCCTCCTGCGCTGATTCCACAGAACTCAAAAAGACCGTCAAACACAGGGCAGTCATCACCAACATTATAACGGCTCTGTTCCTTCGCGTACTGGTCCATATTATCGGGTGTAACTTTGGCAAGGAAATCTATGTATTCATCGGTATGAAACTGCGTCATCTCAAATTTGCTGGCGGGTTTTGCGCGCTATAAATCAAGTTGTTTCCCATCAGTTATCAATTTCCTGTTTGAATTTCGGTACTGAAAAACAGCAAAAATAGGCTCGAAAAGTATGAAACAACGGGCTAGACAAACTTACATATATCTCCATCTTTTTATAAAGTCCATAGTTCATCACCAAGCTGTGGGTCATCCGAATGCGATGAGGCTTCATGGGGTGCCCAGCGACGTAGGCATAATTGCCCACATCCGAGTCATAGAAGTAGGCAATGCGCTTCTTATCCGTGGACCCATTCGTAACGGGAGCATCTAGCGGTGCAAACCCCGTCATGATGGGCAAGCCTTGGGTAATTCGGGTAACGGAGGAGCTTCAAGAACAGTTTGCAGGTATATAGTTGTTCTGTCGCAGTAAACCAAGCCTGCGAAAGGGGTAGGGGAGGTCAAACAGTCAGAGAGAAACGGCAAGCCCCATAGCCCGTGGAGAACACAGTGAGAGTAACAATATCGCAAATCAAGGAGTCCTGTTAAGAGCTTAGCTGCTGCTGCTGCGAGCAAACGTAGAATGCGAAATGATGAAATGTTTCTCCTTGGGCGATGAGAAGTTGAAATGCATGAACAGGAACGGCTGACTAAGCAGGAAACCGGCTCCCGGATTAACTTGCCGGAACCGGGCAGCTGGCGCTCCGTCCACTTCGGCCAAAAAAGAGACGTTCGTGGACCTTAGAAAGCCAAAGCAAAGCAAAGCAAAGCAACAAACAACAAGCACAAGCTCGACTCCTGCCTTCCCTTTGCCCTTTCTTTCACTGCTTCTCCTTGCTCCTAGGCCAGTAACTCGTGGCTAGGAAGATACCGGCCGTTTGTGTGCGACACCTTTTTCTACCTCTTTCACCGCAGCTACACTTCAAAGCTTCCTCGCAATAAGGCACAGCAGGCTGTCGTCATGGAACGGTTTAGCCGAATGTTACAAGCTGCCCAGGGCATGGGCATGAGTAATGCTCCTCAGGGGGTAAGATATCATTCTATGTCTACCTTGTTTCTATGGCCATGGCGCCTTTTGCGTTTCATGGAAACCCCATATCTAACCCAAGGCCTGAATAGGATACCCCCAACCTTATTGATAACTCCGAGACCGTTCATATATCCTCTCTGGCTCTTCTTAAGATGTTACGGCATGGCCGTGCGGGCGTACCTATGGAAGTGATGGGCTTGATGCTGGGAGAATTTGTGGATGAATACACAGTCAGAGTTGTAGATGTGTTCGCTATGCCCCAGAGTGGTACCGGGGTCAGTGTCGAAGCTGTTGATCCCGTATTTCAGACAAAGATGATGGAGATGCTTCGACAGACAGGAAGGTACAGTGATACAGATTACAGTTTATCCCTGCTTCCATGGATTATCTGTTCTTTTACTCATAAGTGAATGTACAGACCAGAAACCGTCGTGGGATGGTACCACTCCCATCCAGGATTTGGGTGTTGGCTTTCTTCAGTTGATATCAACACTCAACAGTCTTTTGAACAGCTCACTCCTCGTGCCGTTGCCGTTGTCGTTGATCCTATACAATCCGTCAAGGGGAAAGTTGTCATCGATGCTTTCCGATTAATATCCCCTCAGACTCTTGTCATGGGTCAGGAACCTCGTCAGACCACATCTAACCTTGGACACCTTAATAAACCATCCATTCAAGCTTTGATTCACGGCTTGAACCGTCATTACTACAGTATTGCCATCAACTACCGAAAGACAGGCCTGGAAGAGAATATGCTCATGAACCTCCACAAGCACGTATGGACTGAAGCTCTTCAGATGAACGACTTTAGGGAGGAGCGTAAAGAAAATGTGGAGCGGCTGCAGAAGCTTGTTGGACTCGCTGAAGGATACGAAAAGAGGGTTAAGGAGGAATCGGAGCTGACACCGGAACAGCTCAAGACACGATATGTTGGAAAACTGGACCCCAAGAAACGTAGGACCCCCTTGATCAGCGCAGCATTTATATTCATACCTTGACTAACTTTGAATTTCTCTCTTCAACAGACATTGAGGATGTTGGTCAACAGCTTATAGAGGACAACATTGTGGCTGTATCCCGACAGATGATTGATAAGGAGGCATCTCTAGCTCGAGATAGTCGATCAAAGGCACACCAGCAAGACATGATGGAGACTGATGAGGAAATATAATTTTCTGTTGCCTATGTATCATTATATCCTCCCTTTGAAATACGACTTCATCTACATGATATACAGTAGCATTCTATATATTAATGGCCCATTCATAACTTAACAATCAATGGTAAGAGCAATACTTAGTCTATTAATGTATGTACTTATATGGAAAAAATCTATCGATACAGTGAAAGTTGGAACGCTATGTATGTCAAAGAAAACCGGGGAATCATGAAATATCCAGACAAGTGCTTGTATTATCAACAGGGAGCAGTAGATGAATTCGATGATTTGAAGGGACCAGCCCATCGAATCTTCTTCTTCGTGGTCTGAATTTCTTGAACCAGACCACTGACCAGGCCGCCATTTCTCTCGATCGACGAGTAACCATCAATGACAACATATCGCAAACTCGGAAGGTCTTTTAGTATGCCATGCAGGAGCCGGCATGAAAACTTGGTATAAAAATCCTTGGAAATGCGGAACGGCTCAAACATTGGGTTTGACGGGTCACACAGAACGAGTATCTCCAACGTATGGACTCCTTCCATTGATTTAAGCCCGAGTTTCTCATTTACAACCCAGGATTCCGGTGGCTCAGTCCAGCTCGAGCCCAGCACGAGCCGTAAAACCCTCACCGCACTCTTATATCGGGGCGCGAGGTCGCAGACGTTCGGCACGATGGACGGCTGATGTTGTACGGGAAAGATGCGGAATGTGTACGAGGAGTAGAGGTATTGGGATACGTCGTCGTGGAATCGGCGGGAGGCCAGCATGATACTTGTACGCCTGTGCCGGCCAAACGGTGATGAGGCCAGCTCTTGGTCGGTTGGTTTACGAGTTCGCCTGACGGGTTTCACGATCCGGGGCGGTCCTGAAAAGACATACGAGTACACCTTACACCGGAGCTCCCAGGGCAGATCGAAGAATCTACACTCGTTTTCCTGTTCTCGCTCCTTCAGCTGGCGACTCACACCCTTAGTGGATGGCGGTATCATGGTAGTCGTTGCAGGGCCGAAACCGAAAAAACGATAGAAAGGCATACGATGCTCAAAGCTGCAGAGGTCCCGACCACGCAGGTAGCCCGTCTACCATTCTCCAGTGAAATCAAGCTTCTGCCAGAGAGCGAGTTCAACACGAAGCGACGGAGAAGAGCGTAACTGATGTGTCGACACCGACGGAGACCAAGCAACTCATAGGAAGCCCTAGCTGTTTCTCTTGGTGGCGCGATGGCTATATGAGATATGTCATATATCCTTGATCTACCCAGCTATTACAACACAATGGGCACTGACGGCGAGCAAGGTGTCAAATTTCACTCACTGGGGTCGATTAATAACTTTCTGGGAAGAAGAAGAGAAAGAAAAGAAAGAGAGAGAGAGAGAGAGAGAGAGGAAAAGAACGAAGAATCTGAAGCTGAAAATGTTCGGGCGAGAAAAGGCTCGAAGGAATAGACGATTATATAATACATTATATCACGTGATTTGATTTTGCGGGTCTAGTCCCTTCTGGGAAAGTTGAAGCTTTTCCGATTTTATAGACATCAATTTTTCTCTACGTCAGAGCCTCAGGGCAGCAGAGGGAGAAGCAGAAGCTGTGAGAAATTGGATTGTCCTTTTTGCATATTCATTCAGCAAGCTCATAGTATGAGTCAATGAGGGAGCTAGTTGTCTGATATTTGTTGAACAAACGACGTCAGGTCACGGCACATACAGCCCAAGATGCTTTCACGCGCTATACTTCCACTCGCAAGACAGAGGGCCATAATAGCTGGCACCAGGCTGTCCCTCACATCCTCATATGCCAGATACTACGCCCGTGACTCTAAAAAGCCATCGAAACCCAGTGGCTACACGATCCCATCCTCTGCTCCCTCGTCGGGGACCCTGTCGGACGACCAGAAGCCCAGAGTTGTTCCTCAGCCAAAGACACCTGCTACAGACAAATTCTCGGAAGAACAAGTCGAATTCGAGACATCCTCTGAATCACAAAAGAATACAGCTCCTCAATCTGCGGAGGCTGGGGCTAGGCCAAAACAACAGTCCGCCGAGAACGAGAATGAGAAGTCAGAGCCAGAAAATGTCAATCAGCAAGAACAACCTCTTCCAGATCTGACCCAAGGTATTCCGTCTACTCTAGGTGCAGAAGTGGAGTCACAATCGAAGCGCCGCAGTAGAGGACTCAATCTGACCGAGGATCCGGAGAAGGAATCCGAGGATGACGGGGGTCGTGGTGATACTCCGAAAGACGAATACGTCTCGTCTCTTGAAAGACGCAGAAATAAAATGACCAACTTGACCTTTGCTGCCTTCCTGGGCCTCTCTATTGCCGGTACTGCGTATCTTGGTCGCAATTGGGATACGAAGGAAGAAGAAAGTGCACACCCAGATGCACCCTCTGGATGGGGGTTCGGCCTCCTCTTTAACCGCATCAAAGCCCGCTTGTCCGATATCACAAGCTACTACAAGGACCCGGCCTTTGAAAAGCTCCTGCCCGAAGAAGATCCTCAGTTTAGACAGCCATACACTCTCGTCATTAGTCTCGAGGATCTCCTTGTTCACAGCGAATGGACCCGTGAGCATGGATGGCGAGTAGCGAAGAGACCTGGTGTTGATTACTTCCTCCGCTATCTCAACCAGTATTATGAATTGGTTCTGTTCACAACTGTACCCAGCATGATGGCAGACCAGGTTCTGCGGAAGCTTGACCCATACAGAATTATTAGGTGGCCCCTCTTCAGGGAGGCCACCAAGTATGAGGATGGCGAATATGTCAAGGTAATTCTTCAGTTGTGCTTTATATTTCACTCAGAGTTTTTATTTACATGTTAAATTTAGGACCTCTCTTACCTAAACCGCGATCTTTCGAAAGTTATATTGATCGATACTCATGCCCCTCACGCCAAACGCCAACCCGAAAACGCGATAATACTACCAAAGTGGAAAGGAGATTCAAAGGACAAGTCACTTGTTGCTCTGATCCCTTTCTTGGAATACGTTGCTGGAATGGGCATCGATGATGTCAGACCTGTTCTCAAGTCCTTCGAAGGGACTTTCATCCCTGCCGAATTTGCCAAGCGAGAGAAGGCCATGCGTGACAAGTTCGAGAAGCAACTGGCTGAAGAGAGAGCCAAGAGACCGAAACACAGTGTGGGTAGCATTAGCTCCCTCTTTGGCATAAAGCCCGCTGGATCATCGATAGCTGGTCTTGAAGATGGCCAATCAGGTGGTATCGAGGAAGGAAAGATGCTCTGGGATCAAATCCGTGAGAGAGGCCAGAAGCAATATGAGATGATCGAAAAGGAAATCCGAGAGAACGGCGAGAAATGGCTGGCCGAAATGGCTGCCGAAGAGGAGAAGGCTAGAGAAGAACAGATGAAAGGAATGAAGAACAGCTTGACAGGCTTCTTTGGAAGTGGCGGTAAATAAACCACCGCAAATTCCTGAGCCAGGCCTGACACAATCTCGAAATGGAAAACATGCATAAAAGAGGAATGTTGATGAATGGTAGGCCGATTTGGGTTTCATTCCCTACTGTACAGCTTGGCTACTAATCGACGGTTCTATGGAGAGTTCGCCTACTACATCCTTCCGAATTGCTTACTCCTTTTTTATATTTCTAACCTGTCTTTATATCAAATCTCTCTTTTTTTTTTTTTTTTTCTAATGTTTACATGAGGCCCCAACTGTGTTGTCTTACGACTCTTCTCTCCCCTGCCTACATTGCTGTACCATTACATTTGATATTAATCCCTTCCTTTAGACTCTCTTGCATACCGGTGGATATTGGCATGTGCAGCATAATACTATTCCAACATTTGGCGTTTCCTCTTGTCCAATTTTCAGGGGCTGGGGAATCATTTATTCCAATCGATGCTAATGGATATGCGCCAGCTTCAGTTACATACTCCTGATACTGTAAACAAGTTCAAAGTGTACTTTATCGCAATGCATCTCATTCAAATCTCCAAAACGAGAACTGGATAAGGTACCGGGTTAGCTGGAATTATTGAAGTTGGAAACATTCTCATACTACAGAGTACTAATGTTAAACACTAACAACCTCCTTTCACATCACTCCCGGGGGCCTCAATTTATAAAGCTCCGGCTTTTGCATCTTGAATTAATAGAGATAGGGCTTTTACCAACCTCTCTGCCGCATCCGTCGACGTCTGATAATGAAACACCAGTCTTCCCTCCGGGAAAACAGTGATGCCAACCTCTTTGCAGTAGTTAACTTTAGCAGCATTTGGTATACCAGCAGCCTTCAAATCTAGTACAATCATATTTGTTTGTACTGGAAGAGAAAACTCATACCCTACAATCTCTAATTTGGTAGCAGTGGCTTTCGTCAGCGCGTTGACACGGGGGAGCTGCGGAATCAAACGATTCAGAGCAGCAAAAACGCCAGCAAACGCCAGCAGCCACCATACCCAGCTGGATATATAGATCAGTTTGTGGCCACACCGACAGTCATGCGTTTGGATGGGGTATTTTGTATCCATGCTGTATTCCATTCCACTTGACTGCCTCACTTGCCTGCGTCCCGGCTACATATTTTGTAGATATCAATGTTGCCTTGGATCACATTCTCCCCATATGGTATTTGGTTGGATAGAGCCAAATTAACGTAGCACTCAACCTGGGATAGACCTAGAATGGAGACACAAACGTACGGGCTTCCCTCCGCCTATAATATACAACGCAACTCGAATATCCGGAGCGCTTATGTTTGCGGGGTTGCGCGACTGTCGCTAATTGAAAGCAGCGATCGAGAACCGCCTGTACCTGGTTGGATAATGCATGTCTCAACCATGGCATTCTCCTACTCCAGCCCAGGAAGAGCTGCCAGGGGGGCAGGCTTAGCCGCATCAACCGTTTATCCCCCCACAAGAGTCGTTCCATACTCCAATACGGGGTCCGGGAAGGGTTTCAATGACCAATATAAACTGCCGTGAGACGGAAAAGTGTGTCGGGAAAGCCAGAGTGATGGACGCTGCGGAAAACAGCTGGCCGTGCCGGAGAGGAAAAGTCGACATGCTTGCCATTAGCAAGCCAACTCGGTGCCTGTTTGGTCAATAACTAACTAACTAGTTATAAAGATCGTTAAGGTTGCGGTGGTCAAATAGATTTTGGGTTATCCCACGTATAACGGTGCCCGCGGGGAATTAGACAAACAGCAAGGCCATTTCGGCTCCCATTTTCCTCTTTGCCATCCGTCTGGGTCTCTTTATCGGGCAAGAAAATGATAAAAGGTCATGTTCGGTTCAGCAGAAGATGTGGCGCAACGATAGTTATGTATGATACACGGCTGCCGCATATATAATAAATACAGGGGGTATTCGAATCATAAAAGGCCGCCCACAACCCAATAACTAAAACAAACAAAAAAAAAAAAGAAAGAAAGAAAGGAAGAAAACAAAGAATATATACACTGCCAGCAAAGGAAACATGCAGAAATTTTTAAAATCTTCCTTTCAACTTTTCCTACGGCAACGGCGTCATGTTTATGAAGTTGGTATCCTGGTCTTGTAGGCCCGATACATCCCAGATTCCGGTCATATCAAAAGGAAAGCCATCCATCGTCCCAAACGTACCAGATATGGACATCATATCGTCAACAATATCATTGTGGTTTGCTCGATCATACGGTGTCATTACGACGGTTTCAGGAGCATCTGAACCGTGGTGATTTATGGTTGCGTTTCGATTAAGCTCCGAAGCTTGCACGACCTCCTCGGTGGTGTGCTTGCTCAAAATCTTCTCGCAGTGATCCAAACACATGTCGCCAACATCCCAGTCATTTTCAGATCGGGCCTTTTCAAGAACGCCACGGAGGATACTGACATTGTTAAGGCAGGATCGAGCAATCTCCGGATCGGATGTCTCTAGCGCAGAGCGGACAAGAAGGGTTGCTGTCGACGTCAGATGGTATGAACTATCTGCAATTAAGGTCAGTACCGCGTTGGACTCCTGTTGGATGGAGGTGAAATTCACTTAAACTTACAGGACATCCAAAACTCCTGATACTGCGGTTTCCTAAGTGAGAGCATGAACTGAACTATTTCCTCCGCTGCCTTTCTACATTCCGTTTGGAAGTATCGGCGTGCCTCTGTGTTGGGGTTGTCTGAGGGGTTAACTTCCTGCAGCCATTCCTCCTCCAGTTGATTAGCGTCATGAAGATTTGCTTGCCGTTGCGCTGGCAAAGGAAGTATGGAGGCTTACTTGGAGTTCAACTCTACAAACAAGCATTTTGAGAGCCAAAAATGCGAGCTGCATGCTGCTGGCTCCCGAGGTTGACGGTGTGTCTTGATCTTGTGGCACTTTTAGCCAGTCCGGCAAAGAGTCTTCCCACCGATCCAGATCTGATCTCATTCTCCTGAGAATTTTCGATGTCTCTTTCGAAGGTCTCGGTTGGAGCCCGTATACCAAAGGAAGAAGATCGCCAAGAATCTCAGTTAGCTGACACAAGGCAATATAGCAATGTGCAGTTCTGACTCTTTGCTGTGTGGGATTCGCTTGCGGTACCAGGACGCTGATTGTGGGAAGAGGAACGTCATACTGGTTCCGCGAGATATGAGGCGGTACCCCATGGCCGTAACTTGCCCTGTTACCCGGGGTTAATGATACATGGCTACAGCGATAATGATGAGACGAGTCTGGGCTTACCACTTGTCATGGATGACAACCCCCCACCAGAGTCGAATACGCTGGTTCTTCTCTGCACGAGAGAGCTTCCAGTTACTTGGATCTCGATTAAGGCCTAAACAGTGTGCAAGGGCCACGGTGCGGCCACTGTTAATGGCATTTCCCGTAGTAGAAAAGATAGGCCTGCCCGTTAGGTCGATCAAAGCCGCAGTCAAAGTCGACAACCCGGGAGCCGAAAACTCTTCATGGAGCGCAGCCACGGCCATGTTAACTGCATACCTGACATCAGGTTTTGGATGTGGTGCGAGAACCGGCGATTGATTCCAATATATTAATGATGTAGCGTATACCTGACACAACAATGCAGGTGGGACACTGTCGTCTTCAGCCTCATACCCGCTCAAAAACGCTTCTTCGTCAAATATTGGGAAAGAAGCATTGATCTTGTCAAGGAATCTAAGAAGCACTAGTGAGTGACCGATACATTTCGCAAGAAGATGGGTAGACTCATGGAACATACATCTTGACTAGATCGTGTTTGAACGGACCTAATACCTGCTCGATAATCTCCCGCTGATTTTCGCCGGGAGTTCCGGTCGTCCTGAGGCCCTGCCGTCGCCTCGATACAGTAGTGTATAGAATAGGTTTTCTCGGGTCGTTGGAATAGACGTTATAAGGCGTCTTTCGGTCTGGGCTGTGGTTATTTGACCGTTCGCTGTACCGTTCAATAACCTGTGCATCTGCTGCGGCAACCGGGCCGACAATATGTACGGACTCTCCGGGCCCGTGCCTATAGCCTTGTTCTTTCTCTGCTTTAGGAGTGGGCTTGACAAGGTTTTCTTTAGATGCCACCTGCGGAATCTCCATCAGATTTCTAGCAGGCGATGCCGAGCTCATCTCATCATGCGTTCTCTTTAGCCCTTTGGTATCAGGAGGCATGCTCCAGGGCTTGGTTTCTGCGCTGGTGGTTGGTGCGGACTGGTCTATTAGGTTGGACTTATCCTCACCATAATGGCAATCTGCCCCCTGAACTCTGCACAACAGGCACGACTGGCCGGGCAGATCAACCGTACAACGAGACTTGCGTTTTCGGCATAAGTCGCATGCCCGGACTTTGTGTGACCGGTAAGGACGCGATCCAGTGCTGAGGGCATACTGCTGAGTGTCCCTAGGCGCGACTGTGGCAGGACGAGCCGGTGCTGCCATCCTGGAAACGAATGAAGAAATGCAATGCTATGCGATGAAGCAACGAGCGTTCTCCTTGGATTAGGCGAAGACTCTTCGCTATCCTGTATGTTATATAGCTGGTTGAGGGTCTTTAAATCTGCATTGGTACTCCGTAGAGGTCGTGACACTACCATCGGGTAAACGGGGTTTTTTTTTTCTTTTCAGGAATGAAAAAAAGGTGGCGTCAAGTCCCAAGATCCAGAGCTCCCAGTTGATCGCGAAACAGCCAGCCAGCCAGCGCTCGCACCCATCACGCAGAGACAGCGTCTTCTAGAAGTGCCTTCGAGCCCGCGACGTCCTGCATCTCGGTCGTATCAATGTGCTGTGCTCCCTTTTTTTTCTTCCCTGCCGCTTTTCTCTTTTTCGATATGCAAGGGCTTCTGCTTGCCAGCTTCCCCCGCCCTAATTGGCCAATGGGTCTCGGCCCGGAACAACGTGGCGCCTTATCGCTTATTAAGATGCCCCGCCCAAATCGACAGCTTTTCATTGGTCCATACTCCAATAAGGTTAGTTCTCTTCCGGACTAGCGGCATTGCCTCTGATTGGCCAGTGTTGCTGTCGTTGAGGCTGACTCATCATCCCTTCGACGTCGAAGACAAACCGAGAATGGGGCGGGAGAGGCCATTGGGAGGGCCCAGGGATACCGAGCATTAGTGATGGGATGTCACAGTGCAGCCGGTCCGCGGGAAGACCACTGACGCGCCGATGCGTCGAGGCACTGTGCGGCCTGGTGGGAGGTGGGAGTTCGGGTTGCAAGCCATGCAGCAAACTCGCTCCGCTTTTCTTTTTCTTTCTTTCGCAGCTCGAACCAGCGGAGTTGCCTGGGTCATGTGACCCCTCAACGACGGGACCCTTTTTTTTTTTTTTCGTTGTTTTCTCTTTTGCCTTCAGGGGCCAGCAAACTACGAAAAAAAAAAAAAAAAAGAAAAAGAAAAAGAATAGCTGACCACCACCCAGACTTTTGCTATTTTTATTTTATTAAGCTTGAGGTGGCTGGAATTTGGCCGTCCTTTTTTTAGCTCGCTCGTGGGAGTTCCGTGGAGCGCCAGGGCAACATTCGAAAGCTTCGACCCCGTTTCATCCCTGGTGGCCTTGACGACGTGCATGATATATATCTTGGGTGGCTGCTCCCATGCAAACGATCGTCTGAAACTAGATATAAATCGAGAAGTTGGAGAAAGCATCGCCACGCATTCTACACTCATTCTCTTTTTCCTTTTGTTTCCGCGAGTCGTGGGTAGTGGTACATAGATCCTTCACGCTGTATGGTATAAGAGGCGACGTCAACGGGAAGCTCGTGCGCTTATTTGGATACAACCATGGATCGTGACGGTAAATGACTGCTAGGACCATGGAAGGGAACCAACTCTCTGTCCTGCCTGGAGATATCCATGAAATTCAGGGTAGCGATTACATGACTTTGGATGAGTGCGGTATCAGGCGTGACGGCTTGGAAGGCCAGGGGGATGTTGCAGGTGAACAACCTGCTGCTGCATTTCACCGACTTCCTCGGGTCGTTATCGAGAGGTATGCCAAAAAACCAATACCCGGTGGTTGGCTTTTCAACCGGGTTTATTCTTTTTGTTGCAGATTTTGTTAACATTCGTGGCCAGAATATTACGCTTGGTTGATGCAAACTGCTTTGCTTCACTAACCTTGATCAACCGTGCATGGCGACAGATATCTGATTGTCCAAGTCTGTATCGTCACCATTTAGCAGACTACTATTCGCCGTCAGATTCAGCCGCGGAGACTCTGGAATCAGCCAGTCTTGAGAGACTGAAAGCGAAATTCATCCAGGTTGCCAGAAGCCATGTTTTTGCTGCGTTTCTTCGGCCAAAGCAGACCGTTGTGAAACTTATATCAGCATCAGTAAGCTCTTCCTCCGCCTCCCCGCAAGGTGAAGCGTTGCGGTTCATCTTCTCTGCTCATGGCCGGTTACTCCTGGCGTTAAGTTCATCTAGGATTTTCGTGATAGATCTTACAAAAGAGCATATCTCGATACTCCATGAACTGAAGATACTACGCCGTCCTACCACGGCTGCAATTCTCGATGACGGTTCCCTATTAGCTGTTGCATCTTCTGGTCACCGGGTACGGTTGTATGAGCTGCAAGTCCAGCATGCTAGACTTCTTCAGACAATTGAGCTTCACGAGGTCCCGTTGTCCCTAGAGTTTTCACCCTATGCCTCTGTCCTGGCAGTTGCATTTGACGGTGGGATTGAAATTTATGCTTTGGGAGAAAATATATTATCCACTGCCCATCGAGCAGTGAGGTGTGAGGGAATATCAACGTTAACGTTTTCCTCTGATGGTTCCATGCTCTTTGGTTCTTCAGACGACCCTCACGCCAACAACTTTATCATGATATCCCCTCCCCTTCTTCCTGACCCTGGGTTTGATCTTAGCCTACCAGAGCTCCACAGTCGGATGTGGACAACGCAGATTCTTTTCCCAGAGGTTGGTGAGGGCTACTGCTATTCTAGTTTGATACCCCCTGCCGAAAGTGGTGACCACTCTATCTTCTTTGTAGGGTACGATAATCGTGTGAAGGCCTTCCGTATATCCCAAGTCGATAATATCACGGGCGGAACACTTTATCTAGTCGGGCCTGGAGCTGATATAGAGAGAGACGAGCCTCGACCAAATTTACTACCTGTTGCTAGTGAAAACGGTAAATATATAGCAGCAAGCTTTGAGAAGTCTGGGATATGGATATTTGGAGTCCCGGCATCAAGGACAAAGCCTGAAGATTCTGGAAAGGATTCTCAAGCACGTCCCCAACCTACCATCCCTCGCATCGATGAAAATGGTTCTTTATCATACGAGGCTACCAACTTTCAACGTCTCAATAAACATATCGAAAGCTCAAAGAGCTTTATATCCGGGCATCCAATTGAAGCAACCAACGATATTACGGATATGAGATGGATGCGGAACACGAAAGGGGAGACTTCTAGTTCCAGGAAGCTATGTAGGCTTGTTGCAGTAGCACCGGGGGGCGTCGACTCTTCTTTCAGCATGATTACCGGGGATACTATGCCTATTGATGGGGGCAGGGTCATTTTGTTTGATTTTGAGCTCTCCCCGAAAAACGGCGCCCATGAAGAACTCATTATTGAAGCTGGCGAGGCAGTCCCAACTGAGCTGCCTGAACAAGGAGCAACGCTCGATGCTGAAGTCGAGCTCGAGAAAAGGAGAGCCCAAATCAGTCGTCAGAGAACTATGGCTGCCAGACATACGCCATCAAGGTCGAACTGGCGTAATAGCATACCTCCTGTCGTATCTCATGCCGATGAAGAACCGTCATCACCCCCCCTCCCACCAACTCCCGGGGGCGGGGCCAGGAGTGCTCTACCCTTTCTAGATAGCCCGTATAGCAATACCTCTCCTCGCTCTACAGAAACACTACGACGGGCAGCGACGGCGGCGTCTCGTAGCCTCGCTGCAAGTAGATTTGAAACGGCCCGTCCAGCCCTCAATTCTGGGCCTCGCCGCAGACAGTTTGTCGTGCCCCATGAGAGTGATGCGGATAACTGGGTTCCGCCGCCCCCTCCATACACGGAAGATGCAAGCGATCCTCTACCGGACCACTTTCGGATGGGTATTCTACCAAGTGCTACGGAGCCTCCACCTGGTAGCCCGCCTAGAGATGTCGGCCACGGGCTACGCAGGTCGCGGACATCAACTATTGACTCCTCGGGAAGCTCATCGTTACATCGTTCGCAAACAACTATAAGCCGGCCTAGCATCACGATACCAAGACGCCCTCTTCCTTCTAATAGTGCCACTAACAGCCCAATAAACTACCCCAACACATCTTTAATTTCAGATATCTCGCCTCCGAACCTAGTCGCGAGTGGTAATAGGCATTTGTCGAATAGTCAGGTTGGCATTAGCACAACCAGCATGAGTTCTCCGCCGCCTTCCAACAATACCCCTACTAATATTGGCCCTGCTTTTCCTCTACCCCATATTCCTTCCATGCAACATCCCACAGCCTTGACACCGGCCAATTTCACTTCCTTGCCTGGCCATGCTGCACCATCCAATCTACCACCACAAGCGACGGGGAACCAGGCTTGCGTGCAAAATATGAATACAATTACTCCAGATCACTCACACCCAAGCATATCAGGGCACCAGGCCGCGCAACTGGATACCCTGCAACGGCATCCCTATATACCTTCACCAAACCCAGTGTCCATGACACACACTTCTCACCCTCCAGACTCCTCACCAAATGTTCCTACATTGCCTGTTGAACGCCAGATATCCGGAACAAGCTCACTCCCCGACGAACCTCAGGGGAACCCCCAGTCACGCGGTGGTCGCTGGCTCTCTACTAACTACAGATCCTCTGACAATTCACATCCTGGAGTCCAAAGATCGCGGTCTCGCTCTCAGGATGTGCCTCGGCGTCGTTTAAATACAGGGGGAGGTCTTTTTGACAAACGCACTGGTCGCAATATTCTAACGTCCCAGTCTGATATTCGATTAAATTCTACGGCACGGTCAGACGACTGGAAAGAACAATGGACCAAGCTGAAGGGCGAACGAAAGAGGAACAAAGATTCAAAGTGTGCAGTAATGTAATATTCCCTTGATGTAATTGAAATTTGTACGGTTGTTCGATTTTGATATTACCATTGCTGGACACCCATTTGGCTCACATCTTACGCGTCAATAAATATTAGTTAACTAACTATGCTTGCTTTCCCGGGTTGTCAAATTTACCCCGAATGGATCCTGGCTCTTTTCTATCTGACCATATCTCTCAGCAAGCTCCTTTATACTACTTCCCCACCAAGGGACACCTCCTTCGATTGCGGTCATCATCGGTTGGCGTATCAGTTAGCTAGTTGATAAACAACTACCTGGATCTCTTGCTAACTAATCTACAGCAACGGCGACTTCGTATCGCCCACCTCAGGTGTCATCTTCGCGTGTTGACGAGCTAGTTGACAATAATACTATTAAACAACTATATAGCTAACCAGTTAGTTGACTGGTTGGTCCGCCGGACGACGATCCAAAGTCACCCATACAAATTACTGCCTGCTTTGGAGGATCTGAACGAGCTATTTAACGGCCAAGCCTGGTCATTCACACTATTACTGTGCTCTGAGTTGCGCCCCTAGCCTTTCTGACTGCTGCTATCAGCTTTCCACACTAGCTAGGGACACTACTACTGGTAATGTAGGTGGAGGAGGCTGTAGCCGTGAAAGGGTCTTGACAACTTCTCAGTCTGCTGACAATAGTTACCATGGTATGTTCAAATATATGTTCAAATGTGATGAATTCCGTAGTTGTAGAATCAATGAACGTGAAAATCGTCAATTTATAATAATACGTGTAATAGTATTAATGCATTTACGCCAATTCAGAAGCTAGTATGTACTTCTCTCCGTCGTAAGCAAAGAGCTTCATATTTCCCATTATCGTGAAAACTCCCAATAGAAGCCAAGGGCTCAAAATCCGGCCGAAAATGTGTCCCGGGTACGTTGGTATCATGTACAGATGAAATAAACTTCCCTATGAAAAATAAACGGAATTAAGAAAACAGTAGCAGCCCCTGGGTAAATGGATGTTTTCCCTACCTACCTACACCTCCAGGCCCTGAACACCAGGATATAAGTAAGGAAATTCTACAAGGCCATCAAGCATCCAATTTAAAGGGTCGAACACTTCATAATTTGTTTCTAGGAAAGCACTGGAAAGGGAGGACGAGTTGAAGCCTCCCAGTGTTGGACCCGGAGGAGAACTAGGGCCCGTAGTTACAGGACCAGCCGTCAAGGCTGGGGAGGTAAGGGTGGGATCAGCTGCCGAGACTGCACTCACGCCTTCTGGCACAGGTGGTGCAGGAGTGGATGTCGATGTTCGGATGGCAGCGGTGGAGGAACACGAGGCTGAGGAGTCAGCTCCGGAGTCTGGATTTGTTGGGTTTTTGAGATACGCTGTTGTAGACAGTTAATTCTGTGTACACAATCGAAAATGGAAAAGGATATTGGGATAGCGGGCGTCTTACCTTCAAAATTCCTTCCTCTGGCTTGGAAATCCTCTCGCCATCGCCAAACGGAGTCGAAAACAAGTGACATGCTCATTCTACAGCGAACCTTTAGCATAAGTGAGTCTCCCGTATCCGATGAGTTAGTTTCTCCCTGATGCCTTTGGTCCTGATTATTTCGGCTGCCAACACCGTTCATTCGCCACATTTGAGCTAGAACTTCAGCTAATCGTTGCGGAAGATCGTTGTTCATCACAGATATGTGGCGAAGGGCTGATATAGTGCGACTAAAAAGAGACTTCGTGTAGCTCATATCAATATGGACAGCGAAAAAGCTGTTGCACAGCTTGAAAAGGCTGAATCCTGCGGCAAGGGTCATCTGGTAAATGTAGTTAGAGCAATAGGATAGGACCGGCCCTGTGGAGGTTTCAAGTCCAAAAGCCGCCTCAAGAAAGGCAGTTGTTGCAAGGTATAGAGCTGATAGGCCTTGGCGGTAGTCCTTGGTGCTCGGGTTCTCAAAGAAAATGGAGAGATGTAGATGTAGGCCAGCGGCTCGTAAATAGACATTCGTTATAGCTACTGCCTGTTAGCTCTGTAGCGCATATGTGAAGGGATGGGAGCATACAATTTGTCTCTGTTCGGACCTGACTCTCCAGATCTTCAAAATCTTTGAACAGCACTGATGCCATGATGTTTCGCTCCTTGTCGCTTAATACACCCACTGGGTCACGATGGTTTGTGTACAATGTTTGTGATATTTTATCACAGAACTTTTCAATCTGTAGCCGCACTCTAACCTCAGGAGGGAGTCGTAGATCCGCCTCCTTCGAAGAAAGGGTACAGTCAAACAGTGTCGACGATGGCTGTCCATAGCCAGTTGCAACTCTAGAAGCAATCGTTAGCATAGGGCCAAGATATGGGGAGATATTGGCTAGTAACGTACCGCTGAGCAACAATATTACAAAATGCCCACGTCCTCACCCTATCATTTAGCTCACCCTCTCTCAACTCCACTCTATATTTGGAGAAGTCCTGTGCATGGGACGGCCTATGTAGGCCTATTTGGAGTGCTATTTGCTGCATCATGCCACAGAGCATGAAAGTAGGGTCCGTGGACGTACTACTAGTAGGAAACGGCCAGGTACAAAGCAATGCTAAAGCCTTGACAACATGATAGCTTTGTGGGACGTCTGCAAGTGTGCTCCACACCAACCGCAAAACGGGACCGGACAAAGCATTCAGAAGAGATGAATCTGTCTGGTACCTGCGGGAAGCAACTGCGAGGATGGTCCAAAAAAGGAGAGGAGACGTATCGTAATATTCCTCCGGGGTCTTTTGAGCCTCAAGCAATGGAAGAAAAGGGTGATAGTATGTAAAAAATCTCGTGAAAAGCTCTGCGGTCCGATCTAAAGGGATTGTCACATCTTCCAGTCGTTTCACGTCTATGATATTGCCAGGTGGGCTTCGCAGATAGTCACCACCGGACTTGAGATCTAACAATGATGCAACAGCTTCGTGTGGTTTCAAGTAGTCAGCCGAGGCCTGGTCCGCTTGTTGAGGGCGCATCGAGCTCGTTGATGGGCTGTAAGGCATGGAAGATGGTACCGGAAGATGACCAGCTGCGGGCATGTTCAGATGGTGTTGCTGCTGCTGTTGTTGCTGCTGCTGCTGCTGCTGCTGGGCCAGGAACTGCACATTGGCATTGGCATTGACAACCTGTCTTCGCAATTCTATGATTTCCCGCTCCATTTCCGCATTACGGCTGCGTTTGCCAATCCGTCTGAAGTTCGCTTCGATCTTACATGGCAGCTTTAGCCGGTGGCAGCGAGTGCAGGTTGTAAAAGGGTCCTGAACAACATCACAGCGAAGCTACGTGACAGTTTCGTCAGTGCTGAATTATAACTTATACATACACAGAGTGCTCACCTTCTGCTGACGACACTCATTACAAGCTCTCTTCACCGGGTGCCTCCGCTTCTCGTCTTCGTCGCCATCTCCAGTCGCACTCTGCGGCGAGCTGCTCTGCGCACCACCAGGCGCAGACCTCTTCTGTCTCCCACCGCTTAGGCCTTTCAGCGACGTTCTCCTAGCCCTACCGTCGTCGCTGTCTCCCTCGTCTCCGCTGTTACTCTTTGTTCTCTCTGCAGCACGGGAGCGCAGTCCACCACCTGGCGACATCACCCCCACTCACTGCTCCAGGTATCTTGCTGTGTCAAACTAGCTGTGGATGCGCTGCTGGGGAGCTGCCTCCGAAACCGCTATCACCATATCCCTTCACCCTAGTCAAAAAGAACCCTCCAGGCCTGCCGGTTTAATCCGCGGCCGCGCAGGCTTTTTGCTTCTTTTTCTTTAGGTTTTGTTTCTCGATTTCGCCGTGGGAATGCGGGTGAGTACAAGGCGTTGAAGACGGGGCGAGAGTGTGTGGGACAGCGGCGTAGCGGTCGGGCAATGGCAGGGCAGCAGGCGACACAGGCTCGGTTGCTTGTAAATAGGCGCAGTTTAAGAGGCTGTCAGAGTGCTTCTGCTCGGTGGTGAAGCGTTTGTCTCGCTGGATGAGTCGAACTCGTCTTTGTCGATTGATTCCATCCATTGCTGCCAGTCACATGACTCGACCTACGGGCATTTTTCGCAGCACTAAGCACGGAGGAGTTAACAAGCTAGTTAGTAGTTTGGTTGACTGGCTAGTTACCGAGATGTCCGACGGGAGAGGTGAAGGTCAAGCCTGGGACGAGGGAGAAACGGCCAACATCACGGCGAAGGAGAAGAACCGAGAAACGGAAGAGGACTCCTGTGCAGACGGAGAGATGGTGGTGTCCAAGGGAAAGCCCGTCGCACTAAAGAAACGCTCGACAGCCCGCTGTCTTCATCCATCACGACGGCCAGCGGATATCCAGATGCTCTCTACCTCTACCTCGACCAGATCGCCATTAAAAACCGACGAAGAAACGTTGACTACGGAGTTCGATGCCTCTCAGGCCCCTCAACCGTTTCTCGACCCGGATCTGCGAGACCGTATGCTGAAGCTACAGGGATCCAAGCTCAGTACTGCAACGCACACTATAGGACAGAATAACGAGTGATAAAGAGCTCTATTAAAACTTCAATTCCAGTATTTAAATATTACGTGTATGGGAAAGAAAGAAGCAGAAGAAGCGTAAACCTCGAACTCAGGGGAAAATGGAAAGGCTTCCTTGTAACACTGAAAGCAAAGCGATGCATATAGACATTAAAAAAGGTGGGAGGGGAAAATCAGGATCAAAATAAAATCATCATCGTCGTCGTCATCAATCATCATCATAATGCAAGTGAAGGAGATCGAAAATCCGCGCTGTCATTATCAAAGCATGAAATGTATCATCGTAAAGCATATGTTGGTAATAAAATGGTGTGGGCACCGGCAATCTCGTCTTACTTTTTACAATTCATTCGTGGTATCATAATTCGTTCAGCTGGCATAACTAGTTTCGTGGGTGATGCAAGGGTTTATTCAATTCTCTCCCTTCGAGACGGAGCAAAGACACTCTCTGGGTCCATTGTGGAGGCGACACTGGTGTAGTCGACAATAACGTTCCCTCCGATAGCTCGGCGAAGCTTCTCCCGACGAGCCTCGAGTTTCTCTTGTTCACGGCGTTGGCGAGTACGGGCGATCCAGTCCTGCACTTCATGCAAAGGACGGAAGGAGCGTACACGTTTCCCTTGACGATATTCGGAGACTAAGAACAGGCTAGTTTTGTTGGATGGAGATTTAATAACACGACTAGGCTTAGACCGAGACCGGGAACGCTGCGAGACACGCCGGATCATGGAGATAGGGCCTTGGAACGGCGTGCGGTTGTAAGGAATACCAAGTGTGTTGCTAACGTATTGCCCGCTCTCGTATCCATTGGAATCCAAGTCGTTTCCGGCGGTTATCGTGGTGGTTGTTTTGGGGATGAATATATTGGATTTAAGACTGCCGCGTCTACTGGTGGTGCCTTCGTCGTCGTAGTCTTGCCAGAATCCATACGGACGCCAAAACGGATGCTTTTTGCTATCCAGCTTCTTGCCTGCCATCCTGTTGCGTACACGATGTGTCGTACTTCTAATATCTTTCGCAGCATCAGTAGCAGGTATCGAATCTGCAGTTGAAGCACGATTAGAGGAACTAAATCTCCGACGAGCCAAGCTGAGACGACGGACAATCCCACCGCCAGTACCACTACTACTATCCGTTTGCATTGGAAGTGGGGGCCGGGGCCTTGACGGCACTGTGTTTGCACGCTTTAATGGGATCAACGGGACATCTTGCGGATCTGAACCCGGGGGTTTGGGCGCAGCACGAGGGTATCTAAGGGGGGATTCAACATGATCTAGAGAAATCATGGGTGGCCTGGGTCGAGCTTCACAAAGTGGATGTTCAACAACCAGTAGGGATTTGTTATTATGGGCAAAAAAAGGAACTGCTGTTGCCTGGCTTATTTCTACAGGCCCAGGAGAACACGATAACGACTCAATAGAACGCTGAAATTGAGTTGAAGATCCAGCTGGTGGAGTTGGCTGGCGGGTGGAATCCTCGTGATCACGAACAGGTGAATCTGGGGGAAGAACTATTTGTGGTGTGGGCATAGAAGTCGTAGACAGACGAAGCGGCTTTGGGATGAGATCCGACAAGACTCCCGTACCTTCGGACCCTAGGTTTTGAGGCTGTGGGTTAACAAACTCCGAAGGGGGTTGTGGCAGAGTCTTAGAGTCGAGAACAGCTTTATTCTCAGAACCAACGACTGTAACAGGCACGCGAGAGCTATTACCTGATATTGAGCCTGCTCGGGAGGTGTTTCTGCTCGTGGGAGCAGACAGAGAAGACCGTCGCGTGGGAATTTTTGGTTTAAAAGCATTAGGCACACTAGACGTGGAGGGTAGGGACTCGGACATGGTGCGCCTATGTCTGCGTGGGCTTTGGGATGACTCTGGGGCCGAATCTGGCGCAGTAGAAGGTCTGCGGTGATTCGGAGGCAATGAGCGTAAGACCGGTCTAGGCGGTGCGGTAGTCTGCAGCGATGACCGACGCTGAGGGATAACAACCACACGAATGATATCCTCGACTTTCCTGGGTTTAGTGAAAGTTATGGCTGTACTGGTTGTAGCCCCTGACATGTCAGATGCAATGCTCCAGCGATTTTCATCAGTGATCCGAGTTCGTTTGTGAGTCAGACGTGGTTGTGACAGGGGCAGCGACTGCAACGGCTTGGTCACAGATGGTGTGCTGGGTGTTGGCGTGCTGACAGATCGAAGGGAGTCATTCTTCTCAGTATGTCGAAGTGTCCTTTTCTTTTGCGGCGGAGAATCGATCACAATGGCTTCAATGGTGGTGGTTGATGCGGTTGAAATACAGCGTACGTGCCCTGGGTTATTATTCTCCATGTCACCTTCGCTTCGGCAGCCGATGCTGGCGGCAAAGGCTTCAACTGAGTTGGATGGGCCACTGCTATTCTCGTTCCGGGTTCGTCCCCGGAGGCTTCCATGATGAATACGAGAAAGGGAATACTCTTGATGAGAAGACTGAGTATGGCCTAAGCCGGATGAGCTTCTTTTTTCGCCACGTTTGCGTACTTGTAATTCGTTTGTATCGAACAGCTGGCGGTCTTGCTTAGGCTCTTGCACATTTCTGTCATTATGGGCCTCATCAGTGGTTGTATGACTACCAGCTGTATTGCGCCAGGAGAGTGACGGTCCATGTTTACTGGGTAACAGAGAAGTGGGTTTGGACCTCTCAGTCTCCTCATCAGAGGATAAGGATTCTTTGGCTGTCGCAAAGGAGGTCGTTCTTGAAGATGCAGACGGGAAACGCTGGCTCTGCCCGTCTCGTTTCTTAGAGCGAGAGATGATGCGAGGAGGGGTAATATCTGGAGTGAGCGGTTTTATTCCGTTTGAAGGTGTTATGGTATTTTGCGGGTCAAGATGAGTTTCAGCATCTTGGTCGTGTGAAATCTCAAGGGGTTTCTGGTCTTCAAGGGTGATGGCGGGTGGAGTTAGGGGAAGTGTACGTGTAGGAGGGTACGCGGGCCCATTATTTATGTCACCACCGGTATCATCATCAGCGCACGCGGGAGAATATGCGCTGACAAGGTCCCGTCGTCGCGGTAAGACTTTGTGAGATTTCAAAAGAGGTTTGTCTCTGCCCTCACGTCTCTGGGCAATGTCGATTGCGGCCGCCATTATCCCAGGAGACAATATCTTTACTTCAAATATCCCCAAAGAACATAACACGGTTTTATCGTTGTCAGGTTCGAGCCGAGTAGGGGACGTGGAGGTTCCGTTTCATCACGGAGCAGAGACGTTCAGAACAGGCTCACCAGCACACCGACGTGCTATGGTATGCTATGCTTTCGGAAACACGGAGAGTTCACCAGGAGGGCGGACCAATGAACGGCAATTTTTCGATATTGCTGAAGGTAGCGCTGTCAATGTGCTGGATGAGTGGTGATACTGAAGGAGCGTGTGGAATGGCACCTAAGGAGTGACTGGTACCAAGTAAGCCGTGTTGTCTGGGTGAGAAATGGAAGACAACGAGGTGAGATATCGAATAGCGAGGGACAGGACATGCGAGCCGGCTTGAAACGAGGACAGACAAATGCGCGCTCAAGGGGGAGCTGCAACCCTGGCACCAGTACTCCGTATATATGCACTGCCCAAGATAAGCACTCGCGGGTCCCCTCTTCTCCGGTCGTCTCTCCAGCCTTCAACCTCGCGTCTTCGTGTATTCAGGGCTGGTCAACGTGTTCCAAGTTCTGCTGATGAACTAATACATCGTGTCTAGCTTCTAGAGAGCGAGAGCATGGAAGGGCAAAAAGCAAGCAGTGATGTTAGCCACCCTCTCTCTCCTTGCTGCTTATCTTTCCTGGTTATGCCGTGTCACCGGGTTCTCCTGTATCTGTGGCTGTTCCGTGACCTTGCTTTTTGTATATCCTACAGCTGCTTTTCTGTCGCTTTCGTCTCCGGCCTCTATTTGTCCTTGCTTCTAGCTCTCGTCTCCCTGTTCGGCTGATCGTCGTTTCACACCTGACGTTGAATGGATTGAAGTCGTAAGTTGCCCTTTCGGGGGTGGGAATTTGTACCTGATTAGTCATGTTACTTAGTCATCAAATTTATTATCTCAGCCACTATATTACTAAGACAAGTTATTTTCACGTGATACTCGTCCGAAATGGGAAATAAAGGACATCAAGCCACAAGAAAGACGAGAAAAAGCAACAAAAGGCACAGAATAGCGACGAAGAAGCAGAAGACAAGCAAGGAGGACGGCGACGGTGAGGGTGAGGACGCGATAGACCAAGGCCGGCTGTCTCTGCAAACGCTGCGGCGAGCAACCCAGTGACCGAGGCGACCGAGAAACCCGAGAGAGGCCACGGAGAAGCTGCAGGGCCCTCCTCGTCCCTCCATGCCCTGCGCACTAAGCAACTCAAGTATCAAAGTGTCCACTTAACTGACGTCAACATCCCAGATCTCACTCCTTCTGCTGGCCTCTCCCTCTCCTTATAAAACAATAGGCTCCTCGCCCCGTCACTCGCTTATCTCCCGTCTGCATCGGAGTCACAGGAGATCATCAGCCAGACAGTCAGTAACAGTCACTCGAGAGACACGGAACTGTCACAAGGGCCAGGCAACTCTCAGCATCCCAGACCGGCCTTTTCTTTCCTTTGCTGCCCTCCACTTTACCCCCTCCCAAAGAAAGAAGAAGAAGAAGAAGAAAAAAAAAAAAAAAAAAAAAAAAAAAAACAGAGAGGCCTGGCTGTAGCAGCCGCGCCGTACTACCCGCCCCTCCCCCATCATCAGCCCTCCCCCCTTGTCTGCGCTCACATCTCAAGGGGACGACGATAATAATAAAAAAGAAAAGAAAAAGCACATCCTGTCATCATGAGTACAATACAAAACCTCAAGAACTTCATCCGCCATGGGAAACAGGCCCGTATGTCTGTTGCCCATGGTGAGCCTACCACCAACGTCACAGCCGTCCACGCAGAATCCCAACGAAAACAGCAGCCGCAGTATCAGCCCGGCATGGCCACTGGCACCCTTGATGCTATCGATCAACATCAGCGCTCGAATAAGGCCGCATCGGCCACTACTACGAAGAACCAGGCCAGAGCCCATGAACAAGAGATCGAGCAGATTATTGCGGAGGAGAAGCTCAACCGTTCCAAGCTGCCCACCTACCCCGGCCTAGAACGATACGTCCTCGTTGAGAAGATGGGTGATGGCGCCTTCAGCAACGTCTACCGCGCGCGATACAAGTCTGGACAGTCAGGGGAAGTTGCTATCAAGGTCGTCAGGAAATTTGAGATGAGCTCCAAACAGGTATGTCCGGGATGCCGCGCTACTATTCAGGCAAAATACCCAATCCCATTACACTAGCTCCCGTAAACATTTTTTTTTTTTCTCTTCGTTCTTTGCCAACCGGTGTGCCTTTGGGGGTCTCCTCTTAGGGCATTGATCACCTTCACCCGAGCATCAAGAAGAAGCAGGTGGAGGTGAGAACACCCTTCCATATATCGTCAGACCACTGCATACCATCGATCTAGTTATTCTAACACTACTCTTAGCGTGCGAGTATACTGAAAGAAGTTCAAATAATGCGCCAACTTGACCATCCAAACATAGTCAAACTGATAGAATTTTCGGAATCACCCCAATTCTACTACATCGTCCTCGAGCTATGTCCCGGGGGGGAGTTGTTCCACCAGATCGTTCGTTTGACCTATTTCAGTGAAAACCTAGCCCGCCATGTTATCGTACAGGTGGCGAAGGCGATAGAGTATTTGCACGAGGAATCTGGTGTTGTTCATCGGTTAGATCTAACACTTCCACCCCGTATAATCTGCACTACTTGTTTATGCAATGACTGATCTTTTTGAAGTGACATAAAACCGGAAAACTTGCTTTTCTATCCAGCACCATTTACTCCCACCAAAAACCCCAAGCCACCAGCCCCAGGTGACGAAGACAAGGTTGACGAAGGTGAATTTGTTCCTGGAGTTGGGTCCGGCGGCATCGGAGTGATCAAAGTTGCAGACTTTGGCCTATCAAAGGTCATCTGGGATAGCGAAACCATGACCCCCTGCGGTACTGTCGGCTATACCGCCCCAGAAATTGTCAAAGATGAGCGCTACTCTAAATCGGTTGACATGTGGGCGTTAGGATGTGTTCTCTACACTCTGCTATGTGGTTTCCCGCCCTTTTATGACGAATCCATCCAAGCACTGACAGAGAAGGTTGCGCGTGGGCAATACACCTTCCTCTCCCCTTGGTGGGACGACATATCTAAATCTGCGCAGGACTTAGTTTCACATCTCCTCACCGTTGACCCTGACAAACGTTATACCATAAAAGAGTTCCTTGCACACCCCTGGATTAGAGAGACAGACGAAGAGACCACTGCCGCTGATGATGCCCCTCCACTTGCCACCCCTCTGGTTTCCCATAACAAGATCCTTGAAGCGCCACTTGCTGGCATTGATCCCAATGCTCGTCGCGCTGACTTCCGCTCCCCCGGTGCTATGAATCTACGCGAGGTCTTTGATGTCGGATACGCTGTTCACAGACAAGAAGAAGAGGCCAAACGCCGCAAAGCCGGTTTCAAAGTCGGATACCGAGGCGCAGCTCTCGATCCCCTTAGTGAAGTCGAACCTGCCGAGCAACAAGAGTATAGCGGTGATGACTCTGAATTACACGGTTATTATGACCATGGAGGCAACCCCATCCCAACCATGCCTTACAACAGAGCTCAGGGAGGTCAACAGCGGCAACAACCCACCGGATATAACCCTGACGTAGCTGCTGTTGAGAGCAAATTACGTGGTACCAATATCAGTACAAGTCAACAATCACAGCAAATGAGCGCAGCTGCTCAAGCCCGTCGTGCGGCCGGCGCAACTGCTGCCAGGCAGCAACAGCAACAACAACAACGAGGCCGTCAACAATATCAGCAAGGCGGCTATGGCCAACACAGCGCAGCTGTAGCAGCTGCTGCCAGAGAAAACGCAGCTCGGTCAGCACAACAGCCATTCGAACTCAGCCTAGATAATGCCACATTACTAGGAAGGAGAGGAAGGAGGATGGCTGGACAACCCGTGTCTTGATTCCCATTAGCCCTCATCCAAATAAGAGCTACCTCATCCCCCAAGTCTCCCACCTCACTCTCGTCACTCAATTCCCTACCCTGCATCTTGCAGGCTCCTCGGTCGCCCTCTTATTTTTTTTTATGTGTGCATGCCCAGCAATGATTTCTTTTAATGCCCATTTCATTTTGATTTTTCTGTGATGTCATGTCATGTTATGTTATGGATTCATTCAATTACAACCCCAAACCTAACTGAACCTTCCCAGCACTAGACATTGAAATATTCCGTACATACAATTGATATGGCTTTTTCCATAACCATACCATCACTCCTACTCTACCGTTTGCTTGGAAGGAGTAGGAAATGTTTATACAGACTGTTTGTACTCTTACCCAAGTTGCTGTATTTTGTTTTGTTTTCTTTTTTTTTCTTTTTTCTTTGTCTTTTTCCTTTTTTCTTTTTTTTTTCCCACGCCGGGATAATAGATAGGGGCGCGTTGGAGCAAAATTCGAAGGGCTTCCTGATTTTTGGGTTGCATTTGATTTGATAAATCACAATATCGAGGTCTCGGCGGTGCAGCCTATCTATGGGTTGATGGTATGTACGTACATGGGGTGACTTAGTTACGCTTATTACGCGTATTCGAGACTTCGACATAACTGAAATAAGATGTAGAAGAAGAGGAAGTATGTGATTAAGTAAAGACAAATACAATTTAGAAGACATTAGATCATGTATGTGATTTAGATGAGAAAGGAGATAAATAAATTCGTTTTTCTATTCATAAAAAAGTAAACGAGCTACCTTCCAACTGGGTATAGTAAGCAATAGACATGAAAATAAACATGAACCGTAAAGACAAATCGTTTCGCTCGCGATGCCTGCAACCAGACTTTCTGTCTGACGCATTCCTTCACCCTCTTCTATTCTCGCTCTATACTTCTCCCACAAAGAACAACAATATAATCATCCAGATAATGACACTCAGCCATAGTTTCTTCAGAGAGATGCTTTGCCTCTAGTCTCAATTGGAAGGAGTACCATAGCAACAAATGCAGCCAACATGAGGCCACCAGATGCATACACAGGCGCCTTAGGGTTTGCATCACCACCGTAGATGGCAACAATAGGTGCCAGTAGCCCGCAGATACGGTTAAGACAACTGGCGATACCAGTTCCGGTACCACGATTGGGTGCTGGGAAAACCTCAGGGGTGTAGGCGTATAAAACGCCGTACATAATATTTTGGAAGAAGGCCTCAAGGCAGGTGCATGCCAGGCGAACTTTGGGGTCAGGAGATATCGTGAAGCAGAACAGGATAACTCCTGTGATCATGGTAGAAATGGCCATAGTACCCTTGCGTCCAATATAAGGGATGTCGACGGTGTAGCAGGCAATCAGGGAGCCAGGAACACCAACTATGGAAGTAATGGCATAGTCACGGTATACTGTTTCACATTTTATTAGCCATAGGAACAGTCGAGTAAATATGGTAGCAAACATACCGGTATAAGTGGTTGGGGGTGGATATTTGTCACCACCACCCTGAGAAAGATATTGTGGCAAGAAAGCATTGAAAAGAGGGTAGCCCATTCCAATAGTTGCCCAGCAAAACCACAGAAGGACAGCTATAGGAATCATCAGCTTCCAACTATTTCTTGAAGATAGGGTGATGAAAATACTTACTAGTAAATCCAAGGCTCTTGGTTGCGAAGAGCGGGGCGATACGTTCTCCAGAGAATTTGTTCAGCTGTCTCTTGATGATCTCGGCAGTGCTTAGCTTCTGGCTTTGTACTTCATCTGGATGTCCTCCAACTTCATTGAGGATATCCACGGTAAGCCAAGTTTTTGCTCCATTTTTATACGCAATTCCGTGTACGGCGGCAACAGCGTCTTCCTGACGTCCACGAGAGAGAAGGAATTTGGGGGATTCAAAGAGGTGGAATAGGAAGAAACGAGACAAGAACATAAGGAATGTAAGAACTCCAAGGATATAAGTCAAGTATCGCCACCCCATATTGTCTTCCTTTGCACAGCATGGAGCAGGCGCAAGATGGCAGGAAGGTAGACCTTCAGCACAAGTATACTTTGGTACAAGACCCCATGCGATAAGACTGTAGGGAAACATAATTAGTGTGAAGAACGATATACATGGAGGAGATTCCGCGGCTTACCTGGCAACCAATTGGCCAACAGGCCACCATACACTGAGCATAGTCAGGAGGTTTCCAGACGCGAAGGGGAGAAATTCAAGGAACAGAGCACCATCAACAGGTAGATTTCCACCTACACCCAAACCGAGACATGCAAACATAGCACAGACACTAGAAACAAAGTAAGTTTAGCAAGGGGAACTTCTTTGTGGATCATTTGTCAGATGCAATAAGTCATGAAGGTTATACATACCCGATCCAAGTTGGGCTACCGCCAACTGCAATTCCAAAAACGCCGCACAGGAAGAGAGTCATATTGAAAGCAAGGCGACGTCCAATGATGTCGGAAGCGGTTCCCCAGATGATTGATCCAAGGCAAAGACCAATGAACAGAGCACAAGTGGTGAATCGAACATGAGATTCGCTAACACCAAATTCGAGAGACAGTTTCGGCAGTGTGAGGGCAACACCCTAAATGGAACCTGTTAACTAGCATTTTCACTAAATGCATGACAGCACGTAGTTGCTTACTTGAAGCCATAAACTGTAAATAGTACCGTATTAGCTTATATAGACATAAAATTAGGTTATACGCGACTCAGAAAAGGACATACTTGTCTGCAAACCAGCCAAATCCGCACAGGACAAACAATTGCCATTGATAGCGGCCCATTCCAATATCTTGAACTGCTCGATTAATGACCATAGATTTTCCTAAAAAGGACATATTGATTAGACTTAGTTCTTTGCATACAGTAGTATATAATCTACTGGTTTGGCCAAGCTAGACGAATTTGACGTTTCTTTCGTCTAGCCTGTACAGCAAAAAAGGGTTAAGGGAAATCTCAAAATAGTTAGAACGTACTATCGTATGCAGTGTCCTGGCCGGTGGAGACAACAGCAGCCTCAACCTCAGCTCTCAGAGCCTCAAGGGTTAATTCGGTCTCATATTCCGGTGGGGGGCTGGCGGCACCCTCTTCGTCAAAGGTGCCACCTACGGATTTCTTTTTCGCTGGAATTTTACTTGTTGGCGAGCCACCGGACAGTGGTATTAGGACTCCAGGGAAGGACTTTTGCTCCTTCGCAAACGGGTTCACAAACGGCATGGTGAGTGATTACTGTTGCTTTGGGCCAGATGGGAAACTGTTGAGCTTTGCGTTTGGGCACGATAATGGGACTTTTCGAAGTGGGATATGGGGTTTGTTGGCGCTTTCGTCAGTACAGTATATGGCTACTGGGAACTGGTGAATTTCACACAGAGGCTGCGTCTGGGCTGCTATAGCTAGAACCGGGCCGTCGGTGCGATGGGAGTGCTGGAAGATATTCCGAGGAAAGGGCGATGAGTTTGCACTTGAGTGATGATAATTGCACGTGGAACGATGAGCCAGCTGAGAATGGCAATTGGGGCCAATAGTGAACGAAAAGGAATTTCTGAAGAGTAGTTATCCAACTAACTGTATCTCCAAAAATATAATGAAAAGCTGTATATCCGCTGGTCGGTGAGCTTCTCCTCCACGTGTAGCTGTAATAAGCTGGCGGGTGCCGTGTATATGCACCGTCTGCCTTCCGAAACGTGAAGACGGCTGTGTATACCGGTCCAGGGGATTGTGAGCCAAAGAAATGGTCGGACTTGAGGGAGAGGGAGAGAAAGGAAGGCCTCTATAAATGCAGAGGCATGGTGACGCCGGTTGTTATATATCTGCGTGTTTCACGAATCAGACGATTCAGACCCAGGCTGAAATTAAGAGGCGAAAAAAGCAACAGGGCGAAGCCATGGGCAGAAAAGCATGAGAGCGGGTTGAAATGGGCGGATCCTGTCAAGTTGATTGGCTGTGCAGGCGGTGGAGTTCTACATGGGAGAAAGGGGTGGAGTTCTCTTGATGCTAGTGCGTCTCTCCGTTTTCATTCTCACTATTATGTCATAGGGTAGGGAGAGCAGTGCTCGTATATGGATCCCCGAGCGACAGGGTGTGAGCTGGGGTGATTTTGATGGTGCTTCTATATATCGCTGCAGGCCGTCGAGCAGGAGCACAAGATCAAAGGCTGCCGGGCGAAGGCAACCTCATCACGAAGGTTCGGTTCTTCCCTGATAGGTAAGCAAGACGGGGGGAGTTTTGAATTTTGGCCATAAATTGAACCAAAGAACTGGTCCTCTCTTATTATTATTGATTCTTAAGGTACGGAGCCAGGAGGGTGCAAGGAAGTGGCGATCTCTTCCTGAGCCATATATCCATTCAGAGGGAAGATTCATCCCTGCCTCCGGAGTAGTCTGCATCTGCCTTCAGCCATGATTAGATTCCCTACTCTTATTTCCCTCTTTTCGCTCTGTCTTGCCAACGCTCATTCTGTCTGCACAGATGCATGGCTGCCTCTCTCTGTCTGGAGATGGAGTTTGCTCTTTGATATTGCTTTTTCTTGGACGTCAAAGGAGAGTGCTTAGTAAGCTTCCTTCATCGCCTTGGCTTTCTTGGCATCCGTGAGCTCGGACTCGGAAAAAGCTTTGTTCCTCGTCCTGCCAATGAGCGCTAAGCAACTGTATTACGTCATACCAAAAGTCAACTCAGACAGTGTCACGTTACATTGGCTTCCCACCAATGAAAAGTGCCGCAGCAATGGCCGAGGCGCCACTGCATAAAAAGGATGCAGCCCTTGGAGTTACAGCAAACCGCGGGTGGGGATGCGGACATTAAGCCAGGGAAGGGAAGCTGGCGAAGAATTTTTAAAGGGCTAAAAAAAAAATCTCTGCACTCGCTCCGCGGCGGCAAACACCGAGGAGCTTCGGCCAAAATATAGTTGCGTTCACCGAGTTTCGTCAAAACTGCTTTGATAATGACGTCAAGTCAGGTACAAGGGCAGCACAAGCGAACCTGGAGGGGAACAGGAAGCCATCGCTGCGGCGGTCCCATGTGGTACGGAAAGGTCCGTCACATCTTCCCAAGTGTTGATGGGGGAGAATCGACAGCATGCTCGTGACGCCGTTAAGAAGGGGTGTGATGATGCGCCACGATACACCCATCCATCTGGTCTGCTGTTCAGCCTGCTAATACCAGGGAGGGTGGGAGCAAAGCATTACGGGTTGCCTCTTTTGGTGATTTCCTCGTGATGGACAGGGACTCTTATTTTTCGATTATTATGTACTCCGTACTCCGTAGGTATGGCTAACCAGTTGACGTCTCCTCTGGAAATCCATGGTTAATACGAGATTGACCAGATGTAGGACGGACGGTAATCATCATAGCAAAGCCAGGTACTTTATATTGGCCTTCTTCATATGTGAAGATCGTTCGTATCCTTCTTTATACTAAGTATGGAGTACAGCTCTTCAGCCAAAATGACAATACTATGTTATCTAAATATAACCTCGTATATCCTGTTGATAAATATATATATGATATAACTAGTTACCTGCAAGAGACGGGGTATTCCTCGGGAAGCCCATTGATCAGCACGGGACTGGTAGAAGTCAATTGCATCCAAAGGGCTGGGAATCTCTGGGAGGAAGATCGGACGCAAACAGGGCTACAACCTGCTTCGTAGTTCAAAAAGCCTCCCAAGGCCAATATCCTATCTATATTCAATAATGCCGGTGCCAGGTACGACGACATATTATAGTGATAGGTTATGTGTCTTCTCACACCATAGTGACAAGGAAGATTTCCGCGAGGAGATAGTAGTTATTGCTCTAGAGTTACTCCGTACAGAACACCATGTTCTCAGACGTTTTCCCTGCCCCTTTCCTTCTATCTGATAGTAAAATCGGTGCAGCCTGATCAGATACAAACATAACCAGGACCCGATAGAGTGCAACCCGATTGGATCGGGTTTCAAGGAATCTCTGAAATAATGAATCACCAGCACACACCTCGTGTGCTCGAACTCGAAGCTAGCTGAATTCGTCGGCTTGAAACATGATGGCATGGTTTCTTTTTGCACCTTTGCTCCAGAGAGGCCTCTTCAAGCAAGCACACACGATATATATTTCGTTCGCTGAGAGGGCTCGCTATCGTGGTGGCCCTGTGCTCCCCAGCGCCAGGCTTTCAGTTCAAGGAGCGTCCAGGAGTTCATGTGCCGCTGGCTAAGACTCCAGCTTGCGATGGCATCTCAGCAAGGAAAAAGCAACCACAGCGACAAAGGGCGCTTCCGCGTGGCTGCTGCAAGCCACCAACGGACCGAGCTCGCCATCGCCAGCCGTGAACTTCAACGACACTGCCGGGACCACTGACATAGCGGCTTGTCTCCCTTGAAGCTTGTTACAGAGGGCTTTTTTCGTGTCCCTTTTTCACAGATTTCACGATAAATGACAGGACGATAATTCTGGTTGGCGGTCAGACTCTATCAGTCCCTGTGGAAACTCCCAAATGGTTAGTTAACATGTCCAACTGCATGTTAAGGAGCTAGCTAGAAGTGTGTTGAAGCAAGGATCAAGCATCTCCCATCTGCCGAAACCCACAAGTTGAAAGCCCATGGGCGAATGAAGGACAATAATGTCCACTCCCTCACCCGATGCTTATCAAACACCTCCAGACCTTATGCTTATTTTTTTTTCTCACGATGTCTGGAGTAAAAACCGCTCGGCTAAAGCGGCCACCTCCGTTGTTGGTTCCCATGGATCTGATAACCACCAACTCTTGCCTCCCGGAATATTTTTCTTTCGTCTCGTCTAAATTCAACTGACTCCTAAAAGAGCCCGGCGGAAAGGGAATATTCCTTTCGTTTCTTGTCATCACCGATAGGGACACCCCCGCGGGTACTCTCAACTGCTGGATATATAAATATCATTCACCCTGGCAGAGTCTGGTGAAGGGAGCGGTGTTTTGTCCAACCCGGAGTATGAGATCTCAGAGCAACCCGATTGCCGAGAGGGCAGATGCAGATTCTCATCAGGAGGGACACCACAACACTGGCCATCCAGGCCATCCAGAGCAGACTGCTGGCGCAGGATGCGAGAGTGACTCAGATGGCCCTGCTCCGGCAACAGAGATGAAGTCACAGGACGCTGGTGCGAGGCAAGGCCTGGACACCCTATCTAACGAGGAGGAAAGAGAACAGCCCCTTTATGACGAAAAGGCGCTTCCGTTAGCAGGAAATGGACTGCTATTCCAGGCCATAACTAGGGACCAGGACGGTAACTCGGTTCGTCTGTCCCGTACGAGATCGTCACAACCTTCTCCGCCTGCGGATTCAGAGAACCTCGCCCGGCTAGGTTCTCGCATGTCAACAGATCCAGATGGCAATGTGTATCCCGAGGGTGGGCTGGAGGCATACCTGGTGGTATTTGGGTGTTTTCTCTGCCTTTTCGGCTCCTTTGGATTGGTTAACACCATAGGGACCTTCCAGGCTTATTTGAGTGAGAATCAACTCAAGGATTACAATCAGAGTACCATCTCATGGATCTTTGGCGTCTTTTCCTTCCTCATCTTCTTCGGTGGTCTTCAGATCGGCCCTATATTTGATGCAAAGGGCCCAAAGGGGCTTGTCCTCGTCGGTTCGACCCTTGTCATTGGGAGCTTAATTGCTCTTGGATTTTGCACTGAATACTGGCAGATAATGGTTGTGTTTGGTGTTGTCTGTGCAGCTGGAACTTCGATGGTGTTCACACCAGCAGTGGCTAACCCTGGCCACTATTTCTTTCGCCTTAGAGGCCGGGCAACTGGTCTAGCAGCAACAGGAGGGAGTGTAGGAGGTATTGTCTTTCCTTTGGTGCTAGATGCTCTCTTCACCAAGATTGGATTCGCCTGGTCTACTCGCGTATTGGCTTTGATATGCTTTGTTAGTCTTGGTGCTGGCTTGATGTTGGTCAAATCACGACTGCCCAGACAGCGTGCTACCATGGAGAATATCATGCCTGATCTCCGTATTCTCCTGGAGCCAGTATTTGCATGCACCACGCTCGGTATTTTCTGCATAGAGTGGGGTCTCTTTGTACCCCTCACATATATATCCTCCTATGCTCTTCATTACGGCATGCCAAAGGGGTTATCCTACCAGCTTCTAGCCATCCTTAATGTAGGCTCCTTCTTCGGCCGTTGGGTCCCCGGATATATATCCGATTACACGGGACGTTTCAATACCATGATTGTTACTGTCCTCATGTGCCTACTCTCTGTGTCTTGCCTATGGCTTCCGGCCAATGGGAACACTGCGATGACGGTATCATTCGCTTTTATCTTCGGCTTCTCGAGTGGTAGTAACATTGGTCTAACGCCAGTGTGTGTGGGCCAGACATGCAAGACAGAGAATTATGGGCGTTATTATGCCACGGCATACACCGTTGTCAGCTTTGGGTACGTATATGATTCCAGCTCTTCCTGTTCTGTCCATCCCAAACGGTTCAATTGTTCTGTGTTTTGCTTGTTTTTTTTTATTTTATCTTTACGAATCTAATTATATCACACAGATGTCTTACCAGTATCCCCATTGGAGGATCCATCTTGACCCGTAATGGCGGTGAATACTGGGGCCTCATTACTTGGACGAGTTGCTGTTACTTTGGAGGACTAGTATTTTTCATTGCAGCTCGTGTGCTTCGAGTCGGCTGGAACCCGTTCAAAATAGACTGATGCCATATCCAAACCCTTCTTTTCGGGTTGTGGCCCTCTAAGTATCTGGGAATCTGGGGATCATAGGGGAACCGTTTATTGCACCTACAATAATATAAAAGCATGGTTACAGGTTGCTTTCCACGTCATTGGACGTTTGCATACATTGATCATGAGTCCGTTATTCGGCGTTGTCAAATCTCGGGTATACCATAAACTTGTTTAATGTCTCTGTTCCGACTCTTATTAGCTAGGTCTTACTATCATGGCATGCACCAAAAAAAGATATTATTGGCTGTTCCCTCGCTTCTGTTCATAACATGGCGCCAACTCAGACCTCCTGCGCTTCTTTCTCGTATATGTTTGAGAACTATGTGAAGTATACATGTTGGCCAGGCCCTTAATCACCGGGTATACGCCTGGGACAGAGTCATGCCGTTTTAGCTGCAGCTACCTACCAGCAGTTTTGAAGAACCAAGATACGTCTCTGAAAACCCCCCAATGAAGGGAGAGACCTAGTGCAAACAAAGCGAGAAAGCCATATGCAAAGAGTGACTAGAGGGATCTATGCCCTATTAGACGGTCTTCATGTTATTCACAGCTATCCAACTACTGCAAGAAAGTAGTCTAATATCAAGACTAGGGTATTCTTCAAAAAGAAAAAAGAAAAGAGAGAGAGAGAGACAGAGAGAGAATGATTGATCAGATCAAAAACATGCAATTGTATCGTGAGTGAAAGCTCGACGTTTGATAAACACTTGTAACGGCCGTCCGGTAGGGCTGAGAAGGCCATCGGCTCGCAAAACACTGTGTAGCCTTCCCGTCCATGCTGCCGCAGAGGCAGGCTGATCTCGGAGAATAACCAGCAGACAAACACCTGGGGCGCAGCATAAAGCTTGATAGAGAGGCCAAACAGCTCTTTGCTCACTCGGATGAACAAAAACATAAAAAAAGAACAAAAAGAGGAAAAAGAAAATATAAGCACGACCTATTTTATATATATATATATATTTTTTATATAGTTATCGCCTGGGGCCAACCATCGAGCAAACCAAGGTCGCCCGGCTGAATAGCGCGGCGTCTGATTCGTGTTTCAGACGCCCACCCACCGTTGGATGCAAGACATGTTGTCGTCATAACCATCCAACAGCAGATTTTTGGCAGCCCAAGGCCGCCTGGATCGAGCAATTATTGACGGAGAGGCTTCGGGGGGTGGAGGCAGGCCGGCAGCGGACAGAAATTTCAACTCGCTCTCGCTGGCTGGCGCACCTGGGCTGTCTTGATGGACTCAATCAGGATCGGGAGCAGGAAGGACGCTGGCTGCGACTGCACACATCAGCCCGTTTCAGGGTAGAGAGCATGTCCTTCGTCTCTCGGAAACAAAGCTGGGCGAGGCATGCGGAGCACACCGAGCTCTCCGGAGGTTGCAATCCCACCGTAACGTCTGGCGGTTCAGCCAGGCGGCTCCTGAGGCAACGCACCTGTCTGTACCACAATACGGTGTAGATGGAACCAAAAGGGTCTCACCTGGCAACCACATCAGATACCAGGGCTTTGTCTCACTACAAATACCATGCTATTGTGAGCTAATACCACGGTAGCGAGCTCGATGGCCCAGGCAGCCTATGGGGTCTGGCCGAGGAAGCCACCGGAACAAGTGCCTAAGGCGTTCGTCCCTTTGCGCACCCCAGGTCTCTCGGAGCCATGGTAACCGGTTGGGTTGCAGCTACTTTTAGCTGTCTGGAGACGCCATGGCATGGCTGGTGGAGTCCCGAGCTTAGATGGAGCTTCGGATACGGTGGAAAAGCAACATGGCTCTGGATCTAAGCCTTCGAGCTGGAGAGATCGAGGCCAGCCGCTCCCCGGTGACGTTGGATGTATATACATACATACGTCTGGAGAGAAGCGTATAAATATAACTGCCCTGCCCGGCTGATACCCTCTTGATACCCCTTTCTCTCTATCATAATCCACTATCGTTCAGTTCATAACTGGGAGGAATACTATACTCTTTCCTCCCCTTTCCTCACCACTTCGTTTCGAGCCGCGTCACTCGCTTGGTTTGACTGTTCCCTATATAACAGATATTTCCTTCGTTACTCTGCTGTTGCTGCCCATTGATCAACTCCGCCCTCAAGATGGTTGCTTTAATATCCCTCGTCGTCGTTGCTCTTGCCGGCACAACCCTTGCCCGCCCTGGCTTCAAGTATCCAGATATTGAAGTCAGGGGGACGGGAGGACACCACCAGCCGCCCCCAATGACAACCGGCAACCCTCCAACGACCACCCCCGAGCCGCCTACTCCCAGCCCTCCAGTGCCGGGCACTCAGACCATCACCACTACTCGAACTGATACCATCACCCGCACCACATTTGTTCCTTGTTCTACTCCCGTTGCAACCATCCCGGGCTACACCTGGTACAGCACTTGGCTCACTGCTTCCACCTATACTACAACCACTTGCTATCCAGTTACTGAAACCCATGCACCCCCGGAGCCTACCCCTACGCAGCCTCCCCAAACCTGCGACGGTGATAACTGCGGAACATTCACCTGCCCACCACTGGCTACAGTCACTGTCACCGTCACTGAATGTCGCGGAGACGGCTGCGAAGCCCCACCTGTCACGCCTCCGCCAGCTGAGCCTACTCCTCCACCACACCATTGCCCTGGCTGCCAGACCTATACCATCACCGATATCCACGAGGGGACTAGTACCATTGTCGTTCCGCCCCAGACTCTTCCACCCGGTCAGTGTGGCAAATGCCAAACCATCACCATCACTGATATCCACGAGGGAACCAAGACGATCACCATTCCCCCGGAGACGACTATTTCTACAAAGACTCCACCCCCAACGTCCAACCCACCACCATCCGGCACCGGAACTGGTGGTCCCAAGCCATCCGGCCCAATGACTACATATACTCCCCCAACTCTGACCTCCCAACAGCCCACTGGAACTGGCTCTCCCCATCGCCGATGGTGGAACTAAGTGAGCACTGGTAGAGCATGAACAGTTACACCTGGACTAATCTACGACGTATCTTTCTTGGTATTGTTTAATGTTATTCTCCTATAATGTTTATGTCACCACTGTTTGTTTCCCCTTTTCAAACGAGCATCTCCCTGGTCCTATCTTACCCATATTGCCTTATATGTTTTACGATTGACTGCATAGTATATAAAATATGACTCTCCTTTATGAATAATAACTAAAAGTATATACTGCATAATTGACTATTGGGTGCATTTTCATCCATTCTAATTCACAACACAATCTAAGGCTTATTCTCCTAGTATCAAAAATAAATCGCCGTATTGTATAAGTAGTTACTATAATGTCACTGTTTGGGCACATACATAGGTGCACACACATAAGATGTAAATACATAATCGTAGTAGGTGGCCTATACCTGACATAACTAGTAGCCAGCTAGTTTAGTCTCTGCAGAGTAAAGGTGTCATAAAAAGCCCTGCAGCCTTGATCTCTTCCTGTGTTCCGTTTATTAGATCCAGCTTAAGCATCGGATAGTGTATCCGAATGTGTACGAAGGTTCGATAACGGAATCAAGGAGTAATGTTACATAGCAAGGTAACGACTTGTAGATTACTATATAGCCAATGACCAGTCCAGCGATCTTAAGAGAAGGTGGTATGATCAAAGAAACGACCCGAATAGTAAAATTCCCTATCAATGTGATCAAGGGGAGGTAGACAAAAAGACTGAGTGGTTAAGAAGCAAATAGACTATAAGAGTAGAGTCTTGTTTCTCATCCGTAAATGGCTAATCTTCTTTGCTGCAAAACGATCTGCAAATAAGAAAAGATAGAGCAAAAATGACCAAAAATGGGTATGTTCAACAGACAGTGCAAAGTCAACCAAATAATAGGGAAATAAAAGGGTGAATAAAAAAAAAAAATGGGACCAAAGAAAATAAGGCAATAGAGGCGCAACAGAGGGGTGATCAATAACAATAGGCCGGAAGAAACCAGATGGGAAACAAAGTTAAAAAAAAAAAAAAAGAAAAGAAAAGAAGAAAACACAAGCATAACAAACAGTTCAGACTCGCCAAAACTCTCTCCGCCAAAAAACGCCCACATAATTTCAGAAATCCGATTCGTGAAGCTTAGGGGAGGACGAGGACGGTTATGCATGTCGCCAAGGGATGTAGGGGAATATGGATATTTCCGCGAAATATCAACCGCATGCAATTAATACAGAACATGATATAAATCGCTTTAGGTGTTGGGGAAATATTAGAGATTCCGCTTTTTACCAAGAATAATAAGAAATATTGGTATGCTCCCCGGATATTTGGGCCGCCTCATTGCACTCTTTCACAATGGATATTGACTTTCCTTGTACGCCGTCCGTTTCGTTAAAATGATTCCTTTTTTTGGGGTTGTAGCTGGTTATTGCTTATCAGGGACCTCAACTACTCTCTATTCAAGCTGTCAGTAGATGAAGTATGTAGATTAGCTTACGATATGTACTATGAACGACTCACTGGTTCATCTTCACTGGTCGTAGCCTTCTTGGCTTCAGGTGTTGAGCTTGTTGGTCCTTCAGCACCTCCGTAAGCTCGTGAATCTAGGTGACGTGGTGGGCGTGGGCGTCGGTCCCGATAATCAGAAGAGTGCATTCGATTTCTGCCATGCATTTGTGTGTTAATGCCAAGTCTTGAGTCATTGTTGCTCTTCTCAAGGAGTGGGCCTCCTAGAGTAGTGCATTTCAGAATCGTCTGCATCATCTGGGTTTGCTTAAGTGGCTTAGAGAGGTATTCATCCATTTGCGCCTGAATACATTTCTCGCGGTCTCCCAACATAGCGTGTGCAGTCAAGGCAATGATGGGTGTTCTTGTCAGGCCGTGGCGCTTCTCGTATGCACGGATCTCACCAGTTGCTTCAAAACCACCCATAATTGGCATTTGGACATCCATAAGGATAACATCGAAGCGGCGCTTCTTGATAGTCTCGAGTGCCTGGAGTCCGTTGCCGACGACGGTGACCCCATGATT